TTTGTTCTATGAATTTGCACAACTGTTTTTTCTGCAGTCTCATGTTTGTGAAGGTAAAAGAACCTATATATTCTACGTAGTTCACACCATCAACTGAGCTTTAAGGAATTAGCTGCAAAGAATTGGGTACCAGTAAGTTTGTTTTAGTAATATTGCTATCTCTGAGGGTTCATCTGATAATAATACACAAGTTTGGATGTTCGATGTTGATAAAGATAAGGACTATGTCAAATATCGGTTGTGAGAATGAAATGCACTGTAACCATTTTCTCACGTATTGATGAGCGTTCAGTATGAAAAACTATATGGAACAAACAAGTTACGAGCAAAAATCGTTTTCTATAAGTAAAAAATAAGGGACCAGCCATCAATATGTCTTGCTTCTTAGGAGTCATTGCACGATAGGGACGATGAAAAATACAGATCATCTGCTTATTTGATGTCACCAATTTCAATAAAACTTTGCATATGTGTAGCATCAAGTGAGATGTGAAAATGTCAAAAATGTTTTCTTTTAAAACCGTTCTCTTATTGAAATATTGAAATCAGAATAGAGGCACCCTCAGGTAAAAAATGGTCATAACCAATGCACTACCCATTCATTATATATTCGCCATTTTCCCACAACAATTCTTTTAGCCATAAAATTTTGTTGATGTACACCAGAGACGGAAACGGGGTGGGGAATATGGGCGATATGACGCTGTGGTGGGGCAAGGTAGAGCACGTCTGGGATGGGGAGAGTGCGTCTGCTAAGGAGCAAAGCCAGGCGGGGATGAATTTTATCGCCGACGTATTTATCCGTCCTAGAATCCCATTATAAAAGGTTGATATTAAAGCCATGAACTCGCCAATTAAAATAAATAAGTGTCATAGATGATTCTGCTAGAGATTTGAATCGAACTTCAAAACTTGGCTACGACTCAATCGGAGTTGGAATCGGAATTGATGCAAATTAGAAGAGGTTCGAAAAACCTACTTTATCCTTTTCCATGTAGAATTGCTTTTCTTATAATTGTACTTTTTCGTTAACGATAGCGGTCAATCTAATAGCAAAACAACATCAAACGCACAAATAGAACAAAAGACATCTACACTAGATTAGCTTCCGAAAGTGATTCTTTTGAAAAAGATCAACACCACTGAATGTCTCCACAAGCATCATTAGATGTATTTTCAGCATCCTGACATGCTTTCCAAATCACTCTTTCGCTTGAATTTTCTGAATTAACTAAAACAAAATCAAAACCTGATGTTTTTGTCAGCCTTTTCTTGATCTGATGAAATTCTTTCCATAAAACAAAGCTTCCTTAAAAAATCATTGTTGACGAAAACTCGGAGTAAATTATCCCAAACCTCATCTGTATTCGAGTTTTTTCGGCACTAATTTAATAGAATCGTTTTCTTTTTTTCGTTAAATTCAGGATTTCTTCTGATGACGAGATCTTGGCACTCTTTAAGAGTATCTATGATTGACAAAAAAACTTTAGATTCAACCCGTTTTTCTTTTCTGGCTAGCGCTCACAAATCTATCCATTCGCATTATACAATATCGTTCCATATGTAAGCAGTCGGCAACTGACAGGAAAAATTTCGGAATTTTTCCAAGTCGATGTCATTTTAAAACTATTCGGAGTCAAAATCGAAGTTAGAAAAACATGACTCCACAAGTCTCTAGATTCTGCGCTACAAAATTCTGTGTTCGTAACGAAGCCAGATGTAGGATGAATGCACAGTCAATAGCAGCTAATATTTGGGTGTGGATGTCTTCCCTTCGCCGATACACATATCCAAACTCAAGCTGCATGTCAAAGTGATAAAAATAATTTGTGAAGACAAGATGAAGCGGGCCGAGCAACGCGGGACAGAAAAAAATAGGGGCGCGAGGAGGCGGGGCGCGAAAATTCGTCCCCGTTTTGGTCTCTCATTTGTACTACCGTAGGTACCATCCATACTGAAACAGCGAAAACCACTTTTTGACGTGTTAGGCAGTATAGATGTATTCGATAGGTCTTTGATAGAACCTCCATCTTGTGACCAAGATTTTTATCTCTTCTGAGCGAGCAATGAGCTGTCGCTAGGGAGCTAAGTACTATTGACCTATTACTACAGTCGAGCCCACTTATAAGAGCTCCAGATAACGGAGCGATCCGCCTGTAAGAGCCGTTTTTAAATTTCCCGTTTTTTTCTCCATTGTTTTGTGTGCTGACAAAGTCCGCTTAAAAGAAACTCGGATAAGGGAGCGGTCCGCTTATAAGAGCGTAGTTTCGGCACCTTTTTGCGATTTGAGTCCGCATAAAAGAGCCATATCGCTTTTTGAAATGGATGTCTGCTCTGTGGCAGACAAGATTGTCGGCTACCACATCCATTCAAAAGTACTACCTTTGGAATGGATCTCATAAGGGAAGAATTAACAACTATGGTTCGTCGATTGGATTTCGAATCGAAATAGAACGATGAATCATAAAGAAGAATTTCGATAGTTGCTCGAAAACTTGTAGAATTGTCTGTTCTTTGCTTGATGATGACACATGTTTGTGTCGAAAGCTTGCAATAAAATGAACTTTCTATACGTATTCACTTTCATCTTTCGGTAATCGATTATGTGAAATGCGTCGATATTTTAAAAGCGTTGCATGTGCTCAAGCGAGCTTGGTTTCTCGTTTCGTCCACTACGATCGAAAACTGTTTTCGAAAAGCCGGGTTTTTTGTTAGTGACAACATTAGTGACGTGCACGAAATGCAGAAGGTTTTGGATGTGTCAGAATTCGGCGAAGCCATACAAGAAGAAGATTTCGAGGCATTCGTCGACTGCAATAAGGATGCCGAATGTTTTGCAAATCTCACGGATGCCGAAATTTACGATTCGGTGAAACAAAATCGAGAAGAAATGGTCGACTTAGAAGAAGAAAAAGAAGCCAGAATTGTTCATGAACTGATGCCACGTGTCTCTCATAAAGATGCACTGATGCATCTTTCGATGGTTCGCAAGTATTTGGAAGAGAATTATACAGAGTATAATTCATATTATGATATCGAAGACATGATCGAAAAAAACGCTTTCATTAATCGTACTCAAAGTAAAATTACGGATTTCTTCAAGTAAATTTATGTGTGCCTATGTACTACTTAATAAATGTTGACAGGAATCAATTTTTGCACTTTTTTACATATACGTAGTTCGGATAAAGGAGTGGTCCGCACATAAGAGCCTCTTTTAGAGTTCCCGACAGCGCTCTTATAAGCGGATTCGACTGTACTCAGTGATGGAGGGTGCGGGTACTTGACTTGATGAAATCAGCTTTCTCTTGAAATTCAGTAGCTTATTTTTCAAATAGTCAATGCAGATATCAGAAATCGATTATTGTTCGAATCAGATAGTTAGGCCTTATTGTGGCTGTGTGCGACTGACTAAAAGAGTGATAGTATCTATGCTTTAAAAGCACATAATACTGTGCAATATTTCTATGAAAAGAGTTTCTCTTATCTTTAACTTGTTTAATTTGAATTAATTATTACATACAAGTTTTGTTCTTATCATCAATCAGGTGGCATATAGGAGTATGACAAAAATGCTGTTCTTTTTTTTTTTAGGTGACGCTGCTCACTCATACATACAGCATGAGGGTAGTCATGATGAAATTCCCATCATATCGAGTTGTTAAAGCAGCAACTCACTGTGAATTATGTTTTATTTGATAGGCTTGTCGAAGTTGTACAAATTAATAGCATTGAGTTGAGTTTAATTTGTACAGAAGACATTTTAGGCAAGCACACAATGTTTCTGTGAGAGTGCTAAATGTGGCCCTTTGTGGTTGATATTTGATTCATTTTGGTCAGAATAATTAAACTTATTATCCACAAAAATGATATATTTGGAATCAACATGAGAAATTGAGTCGATCTATATTTGTTGCAAAATTCTTGGAAATTTTTTATTATTGTCTAAGACTTATTCTTGGTTCTCCTGGAGATTAGGTCAAAAATCAGACCACTCGAAAGCTCACCTTCATTTTTTCTTCATCTCTTATTTTGGATTTTCCTAGGTGTTTAGAAATTTAGAAGTGACTTTTCACAATCAAATTAATGTTTTGACTGACTTAATTCTGTGATGTAGCACTGAGAAACACTAAGGGTGAAATTTTAGATAAAAAAATAAAATTTGCCAGAGGATTCTGTGATATATAAAGATCAACTCAGTCTTTTGTGCTATTTCCAAATATACCAGTTGTTTTGATAAGAAACCTAATTATTCAGACAAAAATTAGTTAAATATCAGCCAAAACAAAGTTTACTTTTAGCACTCAGAAAAATTGTGCGTTTGCCTTGAATGTACACTACACAAATTAAGTTCAAAGCAATATTTCAGTTTTTCAGAGGGTACGTTAACATGTTTTTCTTTAGCATCATAGGAAATTCCATACGTTGAATATTACGACTGAAATCTGTTTAGGTTTAGTGAAATAAAGACTTTTATCATTCTACAGTTTGACTTGACTTCCTTCTCTGATTCGCTATGTTTTCTTCAAATCAACTAATAGGTTTATCCATGAACAAAACCCCGTATATTTTCTATGAATTTATTTATTTGTTATTTGTACAGCAAAGAAAAATAATGATTAAATGTTATTTTTTTTTTATTACAATAAATCGAACTTTAACACAACTGGTCTATGATCTGATGACAATGTTGGAATCACTTGAATTTCGCAATCGAATTTAATTTTCTCAGGAAAGTTGTGACTTTTCAACATAAATATATAATCAATTCGCTTAGATGGATGTAATGAATCAAATGTATAACCATTGATATTGAAAGGATCTATGACTTTTCTACAAATATCATTTACACTCCATAGATCATCAAATAATGAAAGTATAACATTTTTAATTGCATCATCACTTGGAATAGTATTATAATCACCTGTCATCAAAATAATATATGGATTTTTACTGATGTTTATTATATTATCAGACATCCATTGAACTATTTGTTTAGCTTAATTGAATTGTTGTGAACCATTTAAACCAATACCTAAATGTGTTGTACCAAAATAGATAGACAAATCAATATTATCTTGATATTTAAATGGAATTTCAATTAATATAAAACCTTGACAATAATCACCTTCTTTTTGTATTGTACATTGTTCAGCTGTTGTATTATTATAATGATATGTCAATAAACGTTTTATTGATATTTGCTTTGATAATATTGATATTCCATAACCACCATTTTGAAAATTTCTCATTTTTTCAAAATGAAAATATTGAAACGATTGTATTTTATTGTATTGAGCAATGTATAATGTTTGATCTATTGGATGACGACTTGTAAAATTATCAACTTCTTGTAAAGCAATAATATCAACTCCAAGTTGATTGATGGTTTCAGCAGTTTCTGTTAAATTATAAACATGTTCAAAATTACTACCTGTTTGAATATTGTATGTTCCAAATCGAATTGATAATGCCGATAGAATAAAACTAATAATTAACCATAATAGGACAAACTGAAAATGTTTCATTATTTAATATACGTACAGTTGAATAGTTCGTTAATAGAATTTACATTAAATAATGCTAAATACGTGAAGTATAAATAGTTTGTTTTTGTATAGAAAAGAAATAAAGGCATGAGTATAAATATATAACGATAAGATAAAATTTTATTATAGTTTTAACTTTCTGTCTATCGACCTTGATAATTAAAAAAAAGTAAACTGTAATTAGAGAAGGTGCGTTTCCAGAGCTCAACGTCTTTGTAAATCTCAAGTAAACTGATTAACAATAACTAAAGAGCAAACTTGTTTTCGTCATAAGTATACACACTGTAGATCACACTCATCGATAGTATAACTATTATAGCACTATGTCCATTACGATAAACCTATTGTATTCGTTACACGTATTTCCTGCCAACAGAAAAAATCTTGAAAATATTTGGGTCTTACATGTCAAAGTTATCGATATAGCTACTGCTTAAATAAAAAGCTTTTAAAGGAATATCATTTCAAGTCATGCAAGAGTTTGAAGATGACTAAGAAATGTCTAGTCACCGAAGAACTGTTACAATAAAATTATCAATCAAAATTAAGTCAAACATTTCAATATTGAATGAGGAACAGCGTTTGAAAAAAGCAAATTGATAAAATCATCTTCACCATTTATTGTTACGGAGAAAAAGAAGAATGAAACAAAACACAAACGCTGTTAGTGATGTCGCGTTGCAAGTATGACTTAATGATATGGAAGAAAAAGGTAGTTGTTGCTTTATGAGAAAACGAACACGTTCTTCTCTACATCATTCTACGATTAACATGCGCATTGTGTTTTTTATCTTCGTTCTGACCATCTCCATTATTCAATGTGCAATCATTACTCAACTAGATTCAAATGGTCAAGGTATTTTTACATTGAATAATATTCCAATTTCTTTACGTGGTTCCAACTACATACGCTTAATTAATGCTACTATACATGTAACTTTTGAGCCCAATCTATATAGTCTATGGGATATTGAAAGTGCTCTCAAACAAATGTACAGCTATGGCTATAATTACGTTCGCGTCTTTCTTGATTGTCCTACTTTGTATCAAGGATTTAATCTATCATCACCTGGTATTCCAATGCATTACACACAGAATGTCATTGATTTTCTTGTTAGAGCTTCGACGTATCAAATTGCTGTAATGTTGACAGCGAGTTGGAATCCGGCAAACTATCAATCGATTGTCGATTCTTATCCTATACCTGCAAACGTGACAGGATCAAATATGATTATTTTTCACGCTGGGGAAGCTGCTGCGAAAGCTCAATTTTTCCAAGATCTCTTAAACGAAATTCAAAATGTCAGCTCGATAGCATTTCAAACTATATTTGCTATTGATATTTTTAACGAAATATCAGTATCTGTACGACAACAGCCATTTTCTCTAACAAGTGGAATTGTATCATTTGGAGGTGTCTCATACAATATGTCACAAGGCAATGATCGGCAGCAACTCGTCGACATCGCTAGTAATATCTGGTTGAATACCGTAGCCACAGCCATTAAGTCTATTGCTCCGACAATTCTCGTTTCTGCTAGTTTATTCTCTCCGAATGCTGTTGGACATGATGGTTTTGATGGTGTGCAAACTCGTTCACCTAATGAGGACGATCGATATCCACTGAGACCAGCTAGTCTTATAAATAGTCTCGCTGATTATATTGACTTACATGTATATGCTAGTGAAAATATGCGAGCAGAGTTTGAGGGAGCTGCGCTGATACCGGTCAAACCCATATTATTGGGTGAAACGGGAGCATTTAAAGACAATCATCCGAATGTTTCGACTGCTGCCATTGCTATTCAGAATGTAATGATCGAAAGTTTAAATTATGGATTCGTTGGCTGGGGTACTTGGACATGGGATACAATTGAACAATTGGTTCTTTGGACATTGACAGAAAAGAATAATACAATGAATAATGTTTTGGCGCCCAGTGCTTGGCCCTATGTGAAACTAAATAAAACATCTATAATAACAAGCGAGCGCTTCACATAAATCGAACAATTATATTAATATTTTCCTTTTCTATATGAACACATTCTTAGCAGACAAGCGTCTTTCATCTTGTCAGTAATCCATGATTTTGATTACAATAGAAAATAAATTAAACAGAGCACATTTAATAGTAATGAGTAAGTGCATGAGAAAGTAAAGTAAAACGATCGATTTCTTAATTTTTATTTTTTTCATCTCACTTCGACCTTTTTTTTTATTCATCAGCTAATACCATAAAATAGATATCGCCAATATACCGAAGAATAAATTAACAGAACAAAAAAAATCAATATTTATAAATTGCTTCTCCTGTATTTGTGCATATTTTTCTTCTCAATAATTGAAGAATAAATAATTGACTAAAATCAATCTAATGCTATGTAACCAATGGTCATCACTTAACTCTTAAAAGCTGAGTGTTCCTTTCAGAAGACAATGCAGATGCTTAGACTAAGATGATCTTATAAGTCATTAAGTAAAAACCATGCTTCAAAAGAAAAAGTTTATCTGTTTTTTTAACTATAACATGATCATACTGGATGTTCAGAATCTCTATTTCAGCAGTTCGCTCACTTCCAAACACAATTTGGTTTGTAAAATCAAACCATTGGAAGCAAACTTAAAGAGAAAATAAGCAGTCAAATCTAGTGGTTTGTTTCAAACTTTCATATGGAACTTGTTATTTTTAATAACAAAATATATATATGGAAATGAAAGTTTTACCTATCAGATTGTGTTTCACATGATACTTTCTATAAACAGTGATTATAAAGAATCACTCTTTGATATTGTTGCATTTCAACATGAGCAAAATAATTATTTTTATTTATTTGTGAAGCGATCCTTACAATATGTGACTATATTAGAAAAACAAAATCTTATTTAACATTCTCATGAATATAATTACTACGATGACTAAAAATACACTGGGCCTGATGTTTATAATACAATCCTCAATTATTCTATTTAAGTTATGCCTTTCAGAAAAAAAGTTGATTAATATAAAATGTTAGTCATTATGCTTATTGACTTATTTTGAACAATCCTAATCATTTTGTATTATTTCTTTAAATCAAAGAAAAACGTATGATTTGATTTTAAAAAATTGATGAAAAGATTCATTTTATCCTTCTTTGCACAGAAACTTAAATTATGATATGATATAAGAAAAGTTATTTATAAGACAAACTGATTGATATAGAAACACTTATATTAAAAAGAATAAATTATTATTGATTCCAATGCTGATTTTTCGAAATAAAATCCTACAAAATCCTTCTACTAACATTTTTTAATCAAATTTAATTTTGCTATTGTTTAATAAATACAACAACTGATAAATATACACAAAACATACAAGGTAATTGCGCATATATATTCAAAGACGAATGGCTTTAAACATGTAAAGAAAAGTAAACTTATATGATCCTTCAAATTTTTTTTTTTTAGTTATTCTTATTATGTTCACAATGATTGTAGGTTTTGATACTATTTGTTCGTTGATCTTGCTGATACAGCAATGGACTTCGGAACTGAATATTGTGAAAATATTTGAAGCACATAAGTTGGTAAATAAAAACCAATAGTTCACTTTTGCATTTTTTTTTGTTAAAAAGCATTTACATATTCAAGGATTATGAGAACATAAAGAGATTATTTTGTAGGTCAATATCGTGTTTATTTAAAATAATAGTTTTTATTTTAAAATTTAATTAAAAAAAAACAGAGAAATCTGATTTATAACTAGATTTCTGTATTTTATCATTGAAGTAGCATAAGTAAACATTATGTGCAAATGAAAAGAAAAAAAGAAACGTCAACAGTCAATATCGTTAGCATTTTTGACAGAAATTATTGAAATAAAAACATACAGAAAGAGAGAGATTTTACTATTTATTTAATATTTTGACGTAGCTAAATCGACACATTAGTGTATTGAAGAATCATTATCATAAAATGCCAACAAGTAGTCAACGATCTATTGCGTTAAATTCTCAATCAATACTCTTTATAGAAGCAGTGAGTAGACAATTACAGTTTAAAATGAACAAAGCATTCGAAAGATTCATTTGTTAATAGCGAATCTTTATTCATACAATTTATTCTCGTTCTGATATACATATATTCTTGAATTTTTTCTCGATTATTCTTTTTTTAATATTTATGAACAGATTATTTTGCTGAATCAAGTTTAATATTAAACTATTTAAGACCAAATGATAAATTATTTCTTTATAATTCAATAATAATATATTTGTAGGAGGATAAAATCAGAGTGAACAAACCTATTGAACAGACTGAGACCATTGATACAGTTCCAGATAAAATACAATCATCACAAAGTATAAAATCAACAAAAAATCAACAAAAGAATGGTTGTATTGATAATCTACGAACATTTCTGAAACAAAAGAAGTATGGAAATCTATCTTTTATTAGTTACTATCAGAGATGTCCATCACGGTTCTAGAAGGGACGAAGCTACTGCGCCATTATCGCTATAGTTTTTCGAAAAAACTCTTCCATTTTTGTACTCAATTGGCACAGTTCAATTGAATTCATCAGATTCACCACGACTCTGATTGTTGGATTCGTGGATAGTCAAATCAGGTACAAATTTATGGAGTTTTACAGTCTTCCGAAAAGAGAACCTGCTGCTGTCACTGTCCTGGTAGTAGCACCGTCATGAACATCTCTGTTTACTATTCAAACAAGAAAGAATATCTTTCCTCTAATTGTTAGATGTACCAAATGCTTGCTAACTGTAGTACTTGTTCAACTGACATTATTAATTATGGCCTTAGTTGGAATAGCAATTGTTCTTCCTCTTGTGTTGACACAACAAAGCTTAACAAGTAAATAACAACTAAGTATCCTTACAAGAAAAACAGTTGGCTTTGAAAATTTTATTTTTCTTTCTTCGTCATTTTCTTTTTATTGACAATTGAATTCTTTAGAAACATCAATAACAACTACAACTGCGACAACAACTACTACTACACGTAAGATATGACAAAAATCAATTTTAATTAACTCATAATGCAATGCAAACATTGATAAGGTCTATACTAGAAAGAGAATAATATGATAATAATAAAATAAAAGCATCAATAACAAAGTTTTGAATTCCGTCGAATTATCTATATTTAACATTTATCTATATTTTCACAATGGTAACATGTTTAGATATCACAAAGACACGCATGAAAATATTAAAATCATTTTTGACATGCTTTAGGATTACTAATCTTATTGTTTTGGACTATTTTGCTATAGAGAACATCTCAGAATTCTTTTTAATTCTATCGAAACTTGAGTTTAAGTGTGCTCAGCAAAATCTGTTGAGATTATTTCTTTAAAAATTCATCTTCATCTTCTCAAAACATCGACTTTCTTTCGTTCTGTAACCAATCAGACGTATATATATATGTATGTATATACTTATTTTCGTTGTGTAACAAACATACTAACGAACAAACATTTGGTCATGGTAACCGCTTTGAGTATTATTCTCCTGTCAGCAGAAGAAATAAATAGTTAAAATCTTCAAAACGTAGTCATGTTCTATGAAAAGAATCAAAGGAAAATATTTTATAAGCAAATAATGAGCGAATCAATGACTGAAGTTTTCCTCCAATATTGGTTATATAAAACTCAGTTAAAAAACTCAAAAGGAATCCTTTTCATTTGAACTTATTATAGTTAGTTGTGTTTCGCCATATGTTCAAGCACCATCTGGAAATTGTGTCAATATATTACTTGATATAAGTAATTGTGGTGCAGTTTCAAACCTATGTTCAGCTCCTGATACAAGTTGTTCAGCTGGTACTTGCAGTGCTACTATACCAGTTGTGACATTGGCCAATTACACTTCAATTTGGACAGGTGGTGTTAATGGACCAGCTGATGACGAGATTTTTAATGTAACACTTCCGTTCAGTATTACGGTTTATAATACGACCACTAATTATATTCAAGTAACGACTAATGGTGTAAGTATCAATTATTTCTTTTTTTTTCTCAATTAATAAAGAGCTGTTGTTAAACGCATATTTTTGTGCTAAATCAGTCCTTACTGAAAAAATCTAGAAGTGACATGTTTTATTTTATATTCAATAGGTTATTTGTCTAAGCAGTTGTTCGGATGCTTGGCAGGAAAGTAGTTTGAGCACTACTTCTTTTGGTGCTGCAGTTCTACCATATTGGGATGATCTTTATATCTATGCGAAAACTTGGCAAGGTATATATTATGCATTTCAAGGCACTGCTCCAAGTCGTACTCTTGTATTCGAATATTATATGAGCCATTATGGATTCCCGACTGAGTATTATCGTTTTCAAGTTAAATTTGTTGAATCTACACCTAACATTATTCAATTTATCTATTTTGAGGCGTACGATACAGGTGCTAGTTGCACTGTCGGTGTTCAGGGTAAAAGGGAAACAATATTTTTATACTTGTTAATAAACTATTTTTTTTTATTTTTCTAGGTTCTTACACTGGCCAATACATCCAATATTCTTTCAACGTAAATGGTTCTATAACACAAAGTATGGTTCTTACTTGTGATACTAATGCTGGAACTTGTACTGCTAGTACAATTACTGGATAGAAAACAATCATTGACATTAATATAAGTACTAATGGAGAAAACAGAGTCGAACAATTTAAAGCAACTATGCATTGAATGTTTCTAAATAAATAATCACATAACTATAAATCATTTGTTTGAAAAAATATCTGTACATTATCTTCATTTTTCTATATAAAGATCTCGCCTTGATTTTTAGTTTTCATTAGAAAAAAATAGTCGGTGATGTAATCGTCAACAATAATAGTTTTTTCAAAAAACATGTAAATAACCTAAAGAAAAATTCATTCAACATACACGTTTGCTTTTAATAATGATCACGAAAAATGATCTAAATCAACTTTCATCATAATATCTGCAAATAGATTAACTCTTGATCATACATAAAACATGCTTTTATATTGTTATATCAATTATCAGATTTCGAACAATTGATACAAAATTGATGTGAAATTCGAAGGATTATTTATGATGTTTTCTAAATCTAGGAATCGGTGAAAATTATTAATTAAACACCAGTTTTCAATAACACATTTGAAATAAAATTTGAATATTACATCTAGAGAAAAACTGTGTTTCTTCTTTTTCTTTCGATTAGAATAAGTTTATACAAACTTGAGCGTACCATGGTGATGAAAATGAAGCCTTTGGATAATATGTATGTCTGCATTCGAAGAGTGTTGCAGAGATATACAATGACCTCTTTGTTTTTTTTCTTCTCTACCTTTGCCATAAATACTACGTGTCAAGGAAACCTATTATCAACGTTCTTTTTACTTTGATAAAAACTGGTAGACATTCAAATCATACATTCATCAAAATGACTACAAAGCTACAGCAGAATATCAAAAGAAAAATTGGGCAGATAGTACCATTGTCAAATTCATTTATACGAAAACTCAGTGCTCCACGCAGGTCTTTATCCTTTGTACCACGCGTCAAGAAAGTACCACGACGAAATCCTGGTAAACCATTAGAAATATCAGTATGTTTATTAATAAAAAAAAATCATTTTTGAGTCAATAAGTATCTCGTTTTTCCATATTAGATCTCAACTATTCCAACTATTTGTGAATACGCTACTCAATCAAGAGAAACAAGCCATCGCAGCTTATTTGAATCGTCAAAAACTAAAGCGAGTCATGTTATTACGACAAAAAATGATGAGCGATATCAGTCACTATCTACGGCAAAATATACCAACAAAGAAGATATTTCATCATTCATGACTTATCAATACAGCGCTTACACTAAAATATGACTAGAGTTAAACAGAAATGCATGCATTTATCCGTTTATCAAATTCTTTGTTTTTTTTTCAAAGCAGTATGATTCATGAATGAATTTTCTCAGTTAAAAATATCACCTATTGGTGTTTTAAAACATACAGAATATTTCTAAGCTCTATGATCTATTCCTGTTTTTGTGAAAACCTATCTAAAAGCAGTGTTAAGGTATATAAGATAGAACTTTGGTTCCCCGAGATAAGGTGATTTTGCACATATATATATATGTATTTAATTGAGCAGAGTTTGTAATACTTAAACAGGGAAGTTTTTATGAACTGCAATAAATACTAATATCAGAAGCTTCTTTTTTTTCTAACAGAAATTAGTTCAAAAGCGTTTTGAACATACTACTTAAGGTCACATGTTCACCGAATATGGTGCACAACACAATAGCATATTTTTGACTGAAATCGACAAGTATCAACATTTTATATACTTGGCATGTATTTGTACATATTTTTCATACTTATTAGAAAGAAGTGTTTGCTGGAAACGTTGCTAATGCAAGCAGTTGAAACATGTACTTTTATTACAGAAATAGGAAACTGAGACTTAAAATCTTCATCACTAATTTCTGAAACTCGCGAGCGAAAAAATCCTAGTTAGCCAGTTGTTATTAAACGTAAGATTCTTTCAGATTAAAAGAAAAACAATTCTTCTACTCAATAGAATTTCTCAAGAATTATCTAAAAGTATCAGATTTCATTGAAGAATATGTCATTTTCAGTTGTTTGCTTCTTAATTGAATATCTACATAACAATCTTGCTCTTAAGCAAAAGAAAAAATAATACTCTTTTAAGGCAAGCAGACATACTGTTATTACATAAAACATATATAAGTAGGACTTCTTTTCAATTTTCAAATGAAATTTATTATACTAGCAAATTCGTTCTTCATCCTTCCATACGAATGAGGCTTAACGAATTTCTCTCATTTAAATTCATATAATTATACACAACTCGTATGCTTTACAAAATAGAATATTCAGTACAATAAAATAGAGAAGTATACGAAAAGATAAAGGTAGAACTGTAGTTTTAATGAACGAACAAAATGAAATGAAACTGGAAATAAAAGAAAAATTGTGTATAGTAAATATGTATATAAGAAGGGTGTCAAACAAAATATACAGTTAATTGTTTTTTATCATTTCCATGATATTGGTATTTGTATTGCGGAAGAAAAAACAATTATTGATAGAAAATTCTTTGAAATTTATCTATCAGTGTTAATCTGTTTCATCGAACCTCAATATAATCGAAAAATTGACTTCCAAAGGTAAAAACATAGAAAGAACATATACATATTTTATTTTATCTTTCATTTTACCCAAAACCTATTTAGACACTTTTTTTCTTTTCACATATTCACAGTCTGATATGATCTATTAAATCACAATACTTATTCGATTTTATTTAAAACAAAAATATTATTCTTACAAAATTTATGTGGCAAAAATATATCACCTCAGTATCAAATTTAATAGTACGGAGGGTGTGGGTGTGGGTGTGGGTGTTGTTTAAGAGGTAATCCACACCCACACCCACCCACACCCACCCACACCCACACCCACCCACACCCACACCCACACCCACACCCCACACCCACACCCTATGTATATTGTCANATGAGCCGCTCGTGGCGCGTCTAGATCGAGATATTCAAATTTTAAGGTATTGAAAATTTAGACATATAATAACAACAGAATTTTTCGAATTCAGTTTTTTCGCAGCATTAACTATTTTTTTAAATAATGTTGCACAAATTTTGATATTTTCAGAAGGTTCAGTTACGTATGAACGAGAAAAAGAAGCTTTTGATCATCATAGCACAGCGTTTTTAATCCATTTGTTCTTATTTAAATCGAAAATAATAAGTCTAAAGTAACTTTATTGTGATATACTACAAATGAATATGGATTTTTTCAATCAGATGATAATGACAAAAATGTTTCTTGCACCAAGCACAAATCAGAAGTGTTCGATTTTCATAATTATTCATTGAACAATAGAGATCGTAGAATTTGAAACAAATATCCTTTGGTTTTCCAAGTTCTTCAATTGTTTCGTCAATTATTCCAGCATTTATAAATCCTGATTTTGTTAGATTTTTAAATGATGGAGCAGATAATTGATTATGAATAACTGATTGCATATTTATAAAATATTGATGATCACTCATATTGATCATTGTCCGATTGATGCGAGTGTAATGTTCAATTTTCTTATGAATGAATTTCCACGAACGAAATAAGGATAAGTCTTGCGGTTGAACATAACCGGTTGATCCTTCAGGAAAAATTAATAACTCACTTTTTTGATTAGGAAATACTGATCTAAACTTATCTAGACCAGTTTGAGTTTTCTAACAATCAAGAAAAAGAAGGAATTTTCTGCCAACGACAGACGCAAGAACTTCTTTTAAAAAAACACGATGATTTTCACCGTTACTTTTTCCAGAGGTAGAAGCTCGTACAACCACGTTCGGCGGCATGATTAAATCCTTCTGCACTCTGGTACCAAATTCATTTTGTTTTTCGTGAAGAATTAGCAAAACTTTATTTAACAAGTGACCGGCAGCTGAACTAAAAAGTTGAACTGTATACGAGTGAGTAATATTGTGTTTCTTTTTAACAGCTACTTCTGTTGTTCGTTCACCAGTAAATGAAAGAGTTCTCGGTGAAACATATTCCTGTTGAAACGAACAATGATCACTGTTTAGAATTTCATGTGTAGTAAATGTTGAAATTAATGATCTTTTGCTTTCAATCAAATTTCGGGCATCTAAAATATATTATTTTTAGATAAATATAATGAATTTGAATATGGTTGATGCATACCATTTAAAGTACAAACTTTTCTTTTTGATGTTTCTCGGATAATAAGTTTATTGTATTTTCTTGATGAGATTCGATTTTCTTTCTTGAACCTGGTGATGAATGATTCACTTGCTTTGAAGGTATCCCAACTTAAATATAAAATTCGTTTAACATGAAATCCTTGATTTTATTTACTTCTTCAAGATTTGAACCGTTTTGACTAATATACTCTCTAAATATTTTGATATAAGTCATAGATTTAACTTTTCGAAATCTATGCAAAATACTAGAAATTGTATAATTTGGATGTTGATCAATCCATTCAACAATACTTTTCTTTTCTTCCAAAGTGAAATAGTTTCTAATATCTGGATCTTGATTTTCTTCAAAATCATCTGAATCATCACTACTGTCGTCATCCATCATATCATCGTATTCATCGTCAAATTCAAGAGAGTCATAGGTATGAAGTTCATTGAAGCAGCTATGTTTGAAAGCCTTGAGTATTTCAAATAACTGCTGCGAAGCAAATATTTCATCACTTGTTGTTGTTGTTGTTTTAGCTTCAAAACCGAATTCAGCTTTAGTTAAATGAAGAAGATGTTCTACAATATTCACTAGATTCATACTTTTATCGAATTAATGTTATCTTTTCAAGGCAATAATTTTTATAGAAGATTAGGAAATATGTTTCTACAAACTCACATTTGATTGCAACAAAACTGAACCAATCTTAGAGAAAGTATCGATATATTGAATATTAAAACGTCAATGCATTTTATTACGATATCTTATGTACTAGTTACTGTTCTTACGAGAAGACTATTTTATCTCATTCATGTATTACTGACCCTTCACAAAATATTGAAATTTGTGCAACTCTGCTTGAAAAAATAGTTAATACTGCGAAAAAATTGAATTCGAAAAATTCTGTTGTTGTTATATGTCTAAATTTTCACTACTTGAAAATTTGATTATCTCGATCTAGGCGCGCCACGGGCAGCTCATATTTTCCGTTAAGTAGTTTCTCGTTGAGAGCTATCATTTGACATCAAAATAGTTAAGGAAATCGTCTGACATGACAGATGGGTCCATTGTAAGAATCATATGGCAATTGTAGGAACACTTCATGTAAATAGTAGAAAGGCGTTGATATTCTGAAAATGCTATATTTAATAAATTCTTTCCTATTTGTTCATGTTTTAGTAGTCATTATATTGAAAGAAAAGAGTAGTATATAATTGTAAAACAATGGCAGTTCAAGGTGTGAGTCCTTCTTATTATACCCACATCCAACCTAATGGATTCATGAAGCCAGGTCACTTCTCATCTGCGAATATGATTTTATTCGTTCCTTTGATAAGTTTGTGCCCTGCTTTTGTTCAGTGTAATAAGAGAATGGCTAATGATATCAGTTAGCATCGATACCAAACAACCTAAATACTTCGTGTTATGTATTAACATAACGAAATTATTATACGTTACAAATTTCTTAATCAATATTAATTGTTAAAAAAATCAACTCTGATGTGATACCTTTGTTCAATGAGAAACATGTTCTAACTTATTTTATTCTTGAAAAGATAAGAATTAATACTAGGCGAAACAAATCGAACATAATTTTTTCCAGATAAATTAGGCTTGATTCACAGTTTCCTGAAAAAGAAGACAGCTCTCGTCGAAGACATTTTTTGTCAGTAGCAGGTAAAATTATAATTCAGTTAAAAAAGAATTCAGAATATCCGTAGTTTCTTCGAACTTCGTCAAATTCATGTAATAATGCTCGTCGACGATTTTCGCTCAACTCAATAGTTTCAATCGTCTCCTTTCTATTGTCATGCACTCGAATCGAAGTTGGTTGACCAGGTGATGCTGTGACAATACAACTGCTGGAAAGTGCAATTGATGCGATGAGTGAACAAAGAGTTCTTTCATTAGAATTAACCGAATGAGCATACAGTTTAAGTAAAGGAATAATAGGTAAATAGAAGTCACGATAAAAGAGTGCATTATGTTGAGCTAATTGTAGAATAAGTTCTAACGTTTCATTGTCAAGATTTTCTAGAACCGATGTAGCGATCATCAACGGCATCGGTTTTTCATCGCACATTGTTGCATGACGATTTAATATGGCATAATAAGAATAATTATTTAAAATAGCTCGAAAATTTTCTAAGTCTGTAATAGATTCGGCTCTTCTAGCTCTATCATGAACTTCCAATAAGAATTTTGGTATTTGGATCTTGTCGAAAATTGGTGGAGGAAATAAGTCTGTATTGATATTTAAAAGTGATAGATATCGTTTGGTAGGCCCATTCTCGATTAGAAGGTGTAGATATTTTATATTGTTTGAAATTCCATCATAGATGTTTTTGAGAGTATTAACATCTGTCTCTGACCATAATTCAGGTATAAAATAACGTCGACTTGATGAATTGTGATCAAACAGATCGTTTCTCCATGCTTTCAACCAGATTATCTCATCAATCACAGAGTCAAACCACTCGAATAGATATGTATTTCCAAAATCATGGGGCCACCGCTGTTCATTCAAAATCCATTTTTCAATGATATCAATAGTTCTTTTTCGAACTTCATCTTCATCGAAAGGAAATCCACAAATTCCAGCTGGAAACCAATTTATAATGCGAGAACAATGTCGAAGCCCAATTAAATCGCGTGGTTCACGATCAATAGTTGACCAAAATTGTTTCATACAAATATTTGTGCGTTTCAAATCGAAGAAGTAGATAAATGTGTCTCGCATTGACCGATTATATTTGTTCTCGGTAATGAACTTTACTAAAAGTTTTCTTACGTTGGAATCGTTTGATGTTAACGCTCGTCTCATATAGCGCGCGCACAGATATTCTTGAAAGATACGATGAATAAAGAAGTAGGTGTTTTCAAGAAGTGTGCGGTAAGGATCTCGTGAATTTTGTTGCAGCAAACCAACTTGAATTACAGACAAAAATAATGCCCCTGCTACATTCAAAATTTCGTCACCATTGACAGCAAACTCATGCGACTGCGTTGATATGAATGCTAAATATTCTAAATATGTGAATACTTTCGCATTCGGATGCTGAAAAACATCTTGTCTATGTAGAGCAGAATTGGAAAGACCATGGAATTTCAATAGATACCGCCGTAAGAGATATCCACACATACTTTCAATCAATTGTCCTACTGACATTCCAATTTCTAGATCATATGGACGTTTCTCCGACAAAATACAAAGTATCTCAAGACATACAGGAACACTAACTACCGGTAGCAATCGATCCGAATAGCGGACAAATGACCAACATGCATCAGCTGCAGTACGACGGAATACAGAAAAGTATTGCTTAATATATTTTTCTACATCATTAGTAGTAAAGCTTTGAATATTGACTTTAATATCATAATGGCATCTGTCTGTTCCATATGGTCGAGATGTTAAAAGAAGGTATCGTTTATCTAATAGATCTTCCTCAATTGAACGCAAATGATCTGGAATAACACGTTCATCACATCCATCAAGAATCCATAAAACTTTTGATGATGATGATGATGCAATTTGGTATTCTAGTTGTGCCTTTTCGAGATGATTAAGTGTATAGTCTCGAAAACATTCTTTCACAATAATATCAATCAGTGAATAATTGCTTGATTGTGGTGGATAACGACTTGAATTCAATTGTCGCATGGAAATATAAAATATCCACTCGAATTTTTGTCGCCATAGTTTTTTACGAGCCCAAGAATATGCTACATATTGACATACCGTTGTCTTTCCAGAACCAGCTTCTCCAAGTACTAGAACACGAGGTCTTCTACATAGATCCAAGAGTTTAATTTCTTCCTCTGTATTGTGTATTTTAAATTGTACATGAATAAATCTTTCTAATAATCGATGTGAACACTCTTCATTAATAAGATTTGAAAGCATTGCATAATACCGTTTATAACTCAATTCGATTTTCTCTCGAAGAGAAACATTAACGAAAGCCGGCAGTCTATTTACTTGATTTAATCCAATAAATCGAGTAAACCTATCTGATAAACCACTAACACGATTCTTAGAATCTATTTCAATTTTGTTGAGGAGATCAATGGCAACCATAATCTCCTGTTGCTTCAGATCTCTACAAAGTTGCTGATGTCTCTCACCGAAACGTGTCCGTAAGCCTGATTCAAAACATTTGACAAAACAATTGTCTTCTGCTTGTTCATCAAAATCTACTATATCTTCGATATGTCTTCGTTGAATATGGCTAATAATATTTGAATCTAAATCGTAAATCATCCGAACTGCGACGTTTCGTTTTAAATCGCGTTTCACACTATCAATCAATAATATTATATAATTGATGTTGTCACGTAGTCTGTCAATAGGCATCCGACCCAATACTTTCGGTCGTATTTGAATAACACCAGTTCCATCAAAATGAGCTTCATGTATGTTTTGTGGGTTTTGTGAACTAGGATTGTCAATACGAATACTGATATAATTTTGATCGATTCGTCGAAATGAGACACAAATAGCATGTCTACGCCAACCAGTTGGAATAATATATTCTTGTTTAGGATCAAGTTCCTCAATTTTATTCACTATTTTGTCTGCAATAGTGTGATAAAATTCCATTAGTAATGGTTGTGATGATTCAATCTGCTGAAACGACTGGTTATTCATACTTTTTGTGATTTCTATGGGAATGAGTTGAATATCATTAAGAAAATAGTATGCTTCTAAACAGTGTAAAAGCTCATTTTCAATAATAGCAAATGTTTCACAGTCGAGTGTTGTTGAAACATTGGTTTTCATTTTGACTAACCATTGAAAAAGAGCATAGATACGCACTTGAAGGAACATACCTTGTGTTGATCCAATATTTAAATTTTCTCCACGATGTGTGACATTATCGTAATCTAAAAGTGCTGCAATAATAATATGAATTTCCCTTGCTTCATGTCGAGTAATACGGGTATGAAGAAGACGACAAACAACAAATTCAAGAAATAAATCATTTTCTTCGTTATTCGATAATTGACAATGGTTGAGATAGAAATTCATATGCTTTTCAAGCTGTGTCTTTGTTGGCCTATTACGACTTCCATACAGAAGATTAAGTGTTTTCCGTCGATGGGGTGTATATCTTTGAACAGCCGATCGAATAGGAGAATGAAAATTTAAGGTATATGGATCGAAATGTGAGAAATTGCAATCAACATCATTCTCGAGTAAGTTTTGAATCTTCCTTGAATAATCGTCTCGAACAATGGCATGATACAAAAGTTCTTCAGGTGTCGTAGACATCAAGGAATAATTTTTTTGTTTTTAATCTACACTTCTTGCGTGTTTTTTTCTATCACAAACGAAATATGACACGTTTTTTTAAATTTCTGACGCCTTTTAACCATTCGTATTTTTTCTGTTTCTTGTGTTTTTGGTCGCTACGCATGTTTGCAGTCAAATATGCACGACACACTGCTGTTTTTTTGTGTTTTACTCTTAATGCTGTATACTAAATCAAATATAATGAAATAGTAGTAAAGACTCTTTCTTCTTTTCTCTTATCTTAGTATTGTAGTCATATACATACTTGTGGCCTCAGAGTAAATCGTAAATGTGTGACAACATCAGTCTATAGTAAAGTATTTTACACAATAAAAAATGGGGAGAAAAATTTAACCTTGCTTCAAGATCGAATCTCAATAGTCTTTAAGGATTTATTATGCGAGAAGTTTATCAAAGTAAATGCATACGAAAACAAAAATTATTTATTATTTCACCCTCGCAAGGAAATTATTCTTCGTCTCTGGACAAAAGAAAAGGTGAATATCAGATAGAAAGATGTAAAAACGAAACTATATCGAAACAAAAATACAGAAACGAACCATATAGAAGAGAAGATGTTCATAAAGAAAAACGGCGAAAAAAATTATCAAAGAAAAGAATATAGGACGAAAAATGTTGAATTAAGAAAATCTATTATCGATGAGTGGTTGTCTGTGTCGAGTTTGAAAATTGATTAAAAGAGTATTGTACTTATGTTTTCACACGTTAAAAGCAAAAGAGAAAGACTTTTACATAATTTAAAATTTGAATAGGTACCCATATTAAGGTAGCAGAGAAATTAAAAGAATTAATAGTTCCCTATTCGTATTCTATAAATGAACACTATGAGGCATACTGAGTAGGTTTGGAAGGATAGAAATGCGCTTCAAATGAAAGGCTCGACTTTTAGTTTACTACCATTTGAAAAGAAATGAAATTAATATTTTACAGGCAATTGCAGATGTTATGGATGCAATAAAAAAGAAATCACCAGCCGAAAGAGACATAAAGAATTTGTGTAACGGTAGAAGAAAAAAATGGATGACATTTTCAATTGTTATACATATTTCAGATTAATGTAGAAGACGTTGAGATTGGAATATGGGGTGTGGGTGGGTGTGGGTGTGGGTGTGTTTCAAAGATAAGATTACCACGATGCGTTTCGACTGAATTACACAGTCTCATCAGGTGTAGGCGTGGGTGTGGGGTGTGGGTGTGGGTGTGGGTGTGATTAAATATATAAGTAGAATTATATAATAATCAATAGCTGGCAAGACCGGTTTCGATAAGTGCTGATATTATACTTAGGGTGTGGATGAGGGTGTGGTTCTTCTTTTCATTCGCACCCGCACCCACAGCCACACAAATCTACACCCACATCCAAATTGAGAATCTAATTATGTTCATTAATTATTATATAGTTATACGGTGTTATGTATTTAGAATATATTACAGGTCATTTGGACTTCTTGAAATCCTTAGGCTATAATAAAATCAAATACTTAAACTCAATATAGTAAAAAATAATAAGCACTGATCAATAATGCAGTTATTTTCCCAGATTTTTTGGATCTTGGATTCAAGTTTTAATTTGTTATTTGGTAGGATATGTCATCATATATTTTCAGTGGATGCACAAAGATGTGTGTTTAAATTCTTATTGAGATATAGTGTCTCAAATGTAACCTTCTATCAAAATTTGTTGGCAATTTTAATATAGTAACTACTCGTGTTCTACTCCGCCAAGTTTCGAATAGATAAATAAACAGCAAACGTGCACCAACTTCAAATTTTAGATTGAACATTTCATTTTAAAATCCGTTCTTTGGCTCTCTCTTATGAATTAAATATATGAAAAAATCATGCATAGGTTCCCTTGCAGGATATGCATCCGCAAACAAAAATCTTTCGCTTCTTGATCTTTTTATAATGTCAAACTTGGTATTAAGTTTATTACTGAGTAGAGATATATGATATGAAAGTTTTCTTTCATTTTGGTGTACAGATCACACTAATAAAACTCTTATATCATATCTTTACTCACTAATAAATTTGATACAGAGTATGATAACATAAAAAGATAAAGGGAGAAAAGACATTTCTCCGAGAATGTAAAGTGATTTGTTTTATACTTTTTTCATTTTTTCGTTCGCAAAAATACGCAGAGTTGCACGATCTTCTAGGTTACACTCGAGACAGATAATGTAGATAGAAGTGAATAATTTTTGTAGTAAGAGCCAGTAAAGATTCCAACATCTACTATAAACATCGAGAAATTTAGGTTTTAAACAGAACTTCAGAAAATGTGAGATACTCAGAAACTCAGGGTATAGATGTGGACCTTGTCTCCACTCCCACCTAGGGTGTGACGGTGGAGATGGGGTGGAGGTGGGGTGTGGGTCTGGGTGTGAGGTGTCGGTGTAGGTGTCGGTTGTGGGTGTGTGGGTGTGGTGTGGGTCTTACTACAAAAATTATTCACTTCTATCTACATTATCTGTCTCGAGTGTAACCTAGAAGATCGTGCAACTCTGCGTATTTTTGCGAACGAAAAAATGAAAAAAGTATAAAACANTTTCTCTATCTTATTTCCATCAAAAGTTATTCAAAAAAATACTCACTAGCATTCATACAACCAGCACATAACCAGCCGAAATAGGATTAATAGATAATTTAATATTATGATATTAGTTGAAATATGATCAAATAGCATAGAAAGATAGAGCTTTTTTTTCTCAATCAGACTATGTAGAAAGAAAGTTACTTAAAGCTTATTATAAGGTATTAAGATATCACTCTACGAACTTTTGGTATGCCCTAAGTACTTTTTGTTAAGTCAGAATGTGAATGTGGATGAATCTTGATGTGGATTGTGGTCTTCTCTGCACTATCACTCACATCTTCTTTTTTGTTTCTTTTCTTTCAAAATATCATCATCAATTTAAACGGGTATTTAAATTTCTACTACAGTAGAAATTAAAATACTTTCATAATATTAGCTTCTAGTAGAATTAAAAAAAAATTCTCTTAATAGTAGAAATCATGTGTTTTTTGAATTTCTTCTAGTAGAAAATGAAACCTAAATTTCTACTAGGAGAACTTTAACTTCTACTACGACATGTATATATATATGTATAGAATGATTAACTGCTGATTTGTTTCTATTTATATGTCTAGATCAATATTTTTTTTGTATAAAAATACTTAGAGATTGAAAGAAACTAGTCAATGTAATTTCAGTCATTAAATTCTGATAAGAATCAGTATATCTTGAAAGTATTAGAACCTTTATATGCTATTGTAATATGAGATCGTTTTAATCGTTTGATTCTCAAATATTATTATCATTGTTGTTGTCATAGTTTTAGATAGGTAATGGAATTATTTGTAATTAAACATTTTTATTTATTGTTAGATTATTTGTTATATGTCAACAAGTACGTGAAGCTAAATAGATTTGATTTAATTTTTGTATCAGATGGCATCTTCTAAAAATCTGGATTCACTATTGACCAATCCTCTTTTATCTGATCAGTCATATAATGAACAACACGATGAAGTATTATCATCATTGACGACTATTGTAACGATTCCTAATTCAACGCTGCCTATGTCTATTATTTCATCAATAAAGAATAAAGATGAACCGAATAAATTATCAATTGAAAACCGAAGGTTGACAAGCACTAATCTAATGGCTGATGTAAGTCGCCGATTACGACTAAGAAAAATAACACATGATCGACTGTAGGAAATTTTTCTGTTTTATTTTCTTTTAATTTCTTAAATATTTTAGTTGTAAAATAAATAATATCATGTGTTTTCTTGGTCTTTTTGGTGTTCTTCTTATGATCATCGAAAATGAGATTAATTTTATGAATGTTTATGAAAAAGATATAATTAGTTGGATTATTAAATTAATAATTACAATTACAACAGTCATTCTTGTTTGTCTTGTATTTTATTACCATCGTTTAGATTTATATCTTTATTTCATTAATAATGAAATTGATAATTGGAGTATTGATTTAACAAATAAGAAAATATTTCCAATTCTATTTGAAGTATTCATTTGTTTTATACATCCTGTTCCTCGATTCTTTTCTTTGAATTGGAGTTTACGACATGATAATTCAACAATATTTGATTCATCTAAAACAACTTCTATGTCCCCATCTCATATAGATATTGATGTTGTACTTAGTTTATTAAGTAAGTATAAATATTCTTTCTATAAAACATCAAAGTTTTAATTTAATATTAGTGTTTGCTCGTTTTTATTTGGTGTGTCGTTTTATTTTATTTCACTCTTCTTTATTTCGGGATGTATCATTTCAATCTTTGGGTTATCTTAATGAAGTATCCATGAATTTTTTCTTTCTTATTAAAATTTATCTTGAACAATGGCCAACCCGTTGTTTATTATTATTTTGTGGATTTCTCTTTTCTATTGGTAGTTGGTCACTACGGGTATGTAGTTATACAAAGACAACAGAACCTTTATCTATTCTTGATTCAATGTGGTTATTTATTGTCACGTTTACTACTATTGGTAGGTATCTTGATCTTGAAAAAAGCAACAATTTCTTGAAAACTATGAACTTTGTTAATAGGTTATGGAGATTTAACACCATCGACCTATTGTGGACGAAGTAAGTCTAAATGTTAATGATATTATTTTATTTATTCACTATTAGGCGTTGCTGCTATCATTGGTCTAACGGGTGTTTTGTCCACTGCTCTTCTCATTTCTGTTCTAGCAGAAAAACTTCAGTTAACTCGATCAGAAAAATACGTGCATAATTTTGTATCAAATATGGAATTGGCAAAAGAACGCAATAATCAAGCAGCTAATGTCATTAAATTTGCAATAAAACTTTGGTATTTGAAACAAACACATCGATCTACATCGACTGAATATATCAAAACAGAACGAAAATTAATTCGATCAATACGTTTTAGTCGAAAATTGAAACAAGAGCAAGGAAAATTAATTGATAATTGTATTGGATTACAAGAAATAATAACGATACAACGAGAAACTAATAGTAAAATAGAAGAAAATGCAGAACAATTAATAATAATGAAATTGCAAGTCGATAAAATTGATGAGAATTTTGTTAATATAAATCATACAATGATAAGTATACAAAAAACACTTAATCTCTTATTGATTGGAATGTCACAAGAAAAGAAAACTTTTTAACATTTTTAATATAATATTTCTTATGTATTCTAATAATTTTTGTTTAATTTAAATTAATTTAATGATTTTTTGAAATTTTGTCTTAATAAATAAAAATATTCTTCAAACAGAAAGTATATATTAATGCAATTCTCAACAATTAATTTTTACAAATATTAATTGAAATGTTATAATGAAGGAAACGAAGAATTATATCAATTTAAATAAAAGAAAACAACATTTATGCAAAGATTGACTATTAGACATTTTTGTTTTATGTAATAGAATAGATTCAATTAGAGATTATTGCATGTTCATATAAAAATTCCTAAGGAAAATTGTCATTTCTATAAAATTTGTATCAAATCTTAGACTATGATGTGTAACAAGTTCAACAATACGTGCTTGTATAACCAAAGAAGTTCATACAGTTAAATATGACTAAACCTTTTCAGTTTGGTAAAACTAACCTTATAGCTTAGAGCTTCATTCTGTAGAAACTATTCCAGTGTATAATTCAGTTTATTTTAAAATCTTGTATCAATATTTAATACCATAAATGTGCATATCAAAATAATATTTGAATGTATCGTTGCATAGTCTGATATAGTTATACATGATGCTTTTACGAATATAATTATTTGCTTAAGAAATACGTCATTTATTCATAAAATAACATCTTTACCCTTCAAAATATATCCATAGCATTGACATGTATGCCCTTATGTCTTTATAATCAGCAATATTTCTCTTTATTCACTAGTGCTCATCAAGGACGTAAGGGGGAGAGGCGGTTCATAGGGAAATTTCAAAAGCTGGTGGCTGCATAACGCTCTCCCCCCTCCCCTATTTACGCTCCTGGTGTTCATATTTGATCACATAATTGTGTCAGACTTTATGGTTGCACTATTATGTTGTATTTGTGAAGTCTGTTTGTTTTTCTTTGTCTATCTTTGTTGGTATGTATCGCTTTATAGTTTTACATACGTGTCTAAATTGATGCATACTGAAACTGTAATTTTTTTTTCCTTTGTGTATATATCTAATTGTTCGTAATGATAAAAATATTTCTTTGCTATTATTATAAAAAAAAAAGAGCTTCATTTAGATTTAGAAATATAGAGGTCGATACGAAATCAATAATTTTATATGTTTCAAAGATCATTGAACTTACCAGATTTTATATGATCAGGTTGATATAATAATAGTTATTACTGTATGTCTCATATCTTGTGATTATTGTACGATTTTCGCTTGAATTTCATGATAAGAATTATTTCAAGTTTTACGATAATGTTAAGATTTTATTAAAAACATTTTGTTCATATAATCTTATAAGAGCTGATTTGAACTGAGTAAAATGAAATGTTTGTTTGTATTCAAATAAATTTGACAGTTAAATAAGCGGACAATACTGTATAGAATTACCAGAAACGTATCCGATTGAATTCGATCCATTTTTTGTATCAACAAAAGCCTTTATAAATGCAGAATAAGATTAATGTTTATTTTAACTTATGATAAATTTGAACTGATTTCATCCTTGATATTATGCTTCCTCTCATAATATTTCAAATAAGTATCAATTGAGAAAGTTATTTTTTTAGTTCGAATCATATCTGAATTTCCTACTAGTTAAATTTGTTATCCTAATTCAAACATAAACATCTAAATTTCAATAGTGATTAAATAAACTATTACTTTTTGAATTTCTAGAAAGATTTTTGTCAAATATTAGTTCTAAAGATGAGAAGAATACAAGTACAAAATCTACTATGTAAGAATATATCATTTTCATAATATAGAGTTCTATGAGTTTCTTTCCAATAAGCAGTTTGTTTTCATCTTCTCACATACTGTCAAAATAATTATATTAATTAATCATAATACTTCTAGATGTTTCAAAATATTATAAATTGATTATATCATAATTGAAAAGTAGAGGATTTCGAATCTAATTATCGTTACTTGCTTTTTTTTTGTATGAATCAACGACTAAAGACTCCTCTTATTGCCGTATTTCAGATAAGGAAGCAAATGGTTAAATGACAGCAGCAAAATTTTTATTTTCTCGTTCATATATCGCTACTGTTTTTTTTTGTCTCTTTTTTCATGACTCATAAAGAAATACATCAGTTTAAAAATAAGTTATATTTTCATCTTGCTCTATATCATCTTCTGCTAATTCAACTTCAATTTCCCATTTACAACCAAAATAATGCACACTTAAAATTTTTAATTTTGTTCCAATAGATAACAATGCTTCTTTTTCATCAGTAAATGTACTCCATTTCCATATATTTGCTAGATTAATTTTAGCTTTATCATTACAAGTATCTGTTCTTAATATTAATATAGAATTACCAGAATAAATAAGTAAACGATCAATAGTAAATGATGTAAAGGAATTTGTATAATAATATTGATTTTTATTATCTAGATAATATTGAATTTCTGTATCACTTAATGTTAAACCTCGATAATAAAAATGTTTAATATTTGATTGAACTAAACCTCGTATTAATGAACGTAATTTATTAACATAAGTCCAATCAATGTCATCTAAATTAGCACTTAATAAATTTAAATTTGTTTTCATAAAACATTCATTTGTTTTACTATCTGTATAACATTTTAAAACACTTAACATATCATCAGTTAGTTCATATTCATTGATAATACTTGGATAAACTTGTTTTAAATATGGACGATATAAATTTTTTGTTAATAATTTATAATTAAGTGTATTCGTTGCATAATTAAAATAAAAATACTCTGTTTCAAAATCAGTCGTTAATGAAGCAAGATTCTTTGGTAAATAAATATTCGTTTGAGCATTCAGAGTAGACCCCATTTTATGTGGTCCACGTTGATAAAAAAAAAACAAGAGAAAGAAAATAAGAATACAAATGTAATTGCATCAAACATGAGAAATAAGAGGAACAAAAAATGTACCGAGAATTATGATTCACGGTTCTTTGCCTAGAAAAGTTACAAAATGAATAATCCTTTTAAATTGGAAAAAAGACAAAAAAAATTGGATATAAAAACATTAAACAACATAGAGCACTAAAGAAAAAGCATATGGGTCGTTATCTCGTAAAAAAATATAATTTTAACAGTGTACATAAACTATTGATGAAAGTTTTCATCGATATTTGATCCATAGGAGTACATTAATAAAAAAATTTCACGTCTCTATACCTTACCGTCGAGGAGATTTTTTGAGGGGTCAAACTGCAAAATTTCTAGACATAATTTTCTAGAAAACCCATGCTTTATCAAGCATTGAAAGTTAATGAGAAAAGTTTCTTTTCCTCATCTGAAGGACTATGCGTATATCTGTTGATTAAAACAAAATACAGCTCTCTGTAATGAAGTATATTGAGAAAAAATTTGTCCGCAATTCGATCATAACCAAAACAAAACAGGTTATGAGAAAAAAGCAAAAGAAGTTTTTTGTTGTTGTTTTTATAGTCTTTCTAGGATTAGTTAAACTGGAGGTAAAGCATAAATCTATTACATGCCAACCGAAACGCTTGTCTATGTACCTTAGATTGTCTTCATATGAGATATATCACTATCGATGATGCTACGTATCNATTTTTTTGAAAGCTTCATATCTCGAAGAGACTTAGTCCAAAAGTTCTGAAATTTTTTATGCAAGGTATTCTAATTGAGATCTTTATGTGGGCAAAGTTTCAGGTCGAAATTCGAAAATATGGTCTTGCTGCAAAACTGGGACCCTACAGCGAAAATTCACTGAAAACGGTCGATCTCTTCAGAAACAAGCCATAAGCACGAACTCATTTTATCATAGACACAGCTCACTAAGGTCTACAAAATGCGCTAAGTCTCGACTTGAAAGCGCTCGGGCACCTGGGAATGTTCCCTCGTTAGTTAAACGTTAAGTTGTTGCTCGTTAACGAGGGAAGGTCCCTAAATGTAACTCATCAATCCAACTCATAGTTGACAAAGAAGAAAATATTGAAAAGACTAGAAAAATTCTACGAGGATTTGTTCTTATACTTGGTCCTTTCAAATTTATTACCATTAAACTGAATTTCTTATTTCTGATAAAGGATTCATGAAAAGATTGATTTACCAAATGTTAGTCTCAAAATTTGCTCCTAGGTATGTATCGTGGACATGAGAATACTCCTATGGAGTGTGAATGTGAATATGAGATGTGGATGTTGGTGAGATCAGACAAAAGGTCCGTACTTTTGCCGACACCCTAACACATGCCCATCTCTTACACACATCCTCATACACGTATTCACCCACACTCAAAATGTCATTTTATATCAAAATATAAAACTAAAGAGCATGAACAATTGAAAAGCGAAAGAGAAAAGTTTAGATTATTGTTCAAAGTTGACTCTATAGATTTTTGACAAGCATAATGATGAATCTTTAGAAATGTTTAAGCATAAGAATAAAGCAAGTATATTTAATCAAAATTAATATCGAGAGTAAGAGATTAGAACAAATGATTTGAAATTTGATCATCAATTTCGATCCTATTTGATGTATAGAATATAAAATCAATAATCTATGATAATAATGGTTAGAGAAGAAGATTGCTATTCTATTTAATAATCGAATTTTAGTTGAAAGAAAAACAAAAGTTTTCCAAGATAAATTATTCTTGTAATTCTATAATATTTGTCGATGAATTTTCATGAACAATCTTTCTCTCATTGTTCACTTCTTGAACATCGTTTGTATATTGATTCTTTGTCATTATTTTAGCATAGATTTTCTTACAAACAGATACAATTGAGTTACGACCTTCAATAACTGGATAGATGCCAACAATAATAAATGAAATAAACATCCAAACAGTACCAAAAATAATCCAACCTGCAAAAAAAGGTTTACTAAAGACATAAGATGTTCCAAACATAGGCCATGGCCAAATAATAATAAGACATAAAGTAAGTATGACTGCTGTGATACGTGCTATTTTAGAATTATGTGTAAGAAGAATTATTTCACGTTCCATATCATCAAGATTTACATTCGAACTATTTTTTGGTTCTTCATTATCTCGTTTGATTTCTTTCATTGAATTAAAATTATATAATACTTTATCAGGTGCTATTAAAGATATAATAGGTACGAATATCATTGGACTACATAGAGCAACTAAATTTCCAACTAACATTGGAATATTTGATCCACTTGTTAGAACAGTTATTGAACCATATTGAGCTTTAGTTGTAATTAACCAGGATATTATAGAACAAATCATACCAAGTGGTGGAGAAAGACAAGCAGCCCATTTAGTCTGTCGATTCCAAAGTAAGGTAAAGGTACCTGGAATAACAGCACTTGAAATAATAACACCCATTAATAAATATAAATAACCCATATCAATATTAACATAATATAAACCAGTTGATAAACCACTCATAATAAGACCAAATATAACAACAGATACATGTGAAATATAGATCAATCGTTTTCCCGATGCTTCTCGATTGAAATACATTTTATAAAGATCATAAGTAACAATAGAACTTACAGCTATTAATTGAGCTGACATAGCACTTGTAACAGCCATAAAAACCATGATTAATGTAGCTATTGCACCACTTCTTCCAAGAAGTGCTATTGCAGCAGCTGGTAATGTTAAACCAGCTAATACATCATCTGAACTTAATCTATTTGGATATGTAGGAAATACTGGATTACTTTCAAGTGCAACAGCAGCTAATCCCATTGTAGTTGCAGCAAGAAATGGTACAGCAAACCATGATATTCCACCTAGAATATAACCAGGTAGAGCAGAAACAGGTGAAGCTGCAATAGCCTTATTGTAATAACCATTATCGAGAAAAACAGTTCCAAAATTTCCAATAATATTAATTATAAAAAATATGGCACCTTCTTTTGATCTCATTGTTAAATAAGATCCTTCAGCATTGCCTTCTACTGGATGAGACTGACTAGCATTTACAAGTAAGTCATAAACTTTCGAAATTGAACCAAGTATTGGTGATGTTACATATGAAACAAATGTAAAATAAAGAATTATAATTAGAACAGCTACTGTATGTGCATAATCAGTAAGAAATGTTGCTTTTATACCGCCAAACATTGTATAAACAATTGTTCCTAATGGTAGAAGAAAACAAGCAGCAGCAATATGCATACCACTCAATGATTGAACAACAGCTGAACCACCAGTTAATAACATTGCTGTAACAAGAATATTTGTACATACACAAAAGAAAATAAAAACAATATGAACCATTGGACCATATCGAGCATGAACAACTTCTAAAAATGTATGCGCAAACGGTGCTCGACGTTTAAGTTCAATAGCAATAACACAGAATAGAACAATTTGTACTGTTGCACCACTTGCATACCAAAATGGACCCGAAACTCCGTATGAATAAGCAATTGAACTTGATTGTAATAGAGTTGCAGCCCATGTCCATGATGAAACAACAGCTGAAGCAATAAGACCTGTTTTCACTGTTCGGTGAGCTGTTGAAAAACCTTCACTTGAATCAGTTGCTTCACCATGAAAATGCTTTAAACAATATGTTATTACAATCATACCGATTGCAAATAGAGCTCCAAAACCAACGACAATACCATAACCATCACCTTGACTCAATGGTGGATTTTTCGATAACATTTTTTTTTTAAATAATAAATATTATCGACAAAAATCAAATATTATATACCAATGTATATAACCTATTAGAAAAAAACAACGTGATGCCCTTTTCATATCAAACTATAATTTTTTTCTGCGTCGTAATTAAGAGAAAAGAACCTAAATATGAATTGTTACAGGAAAATAATTGATACAAAACCAAATTAATAGTCAGATATCGACTGAATGTTAACATGATTCGTTGGAATAACATTCGATTATTTTGCCACATATAGCATGATAAACTGAATTATAAATTCTTAAAGATTCCTGTTTTATTACACTTGTCTTTTAGTAAAGGTTATTTTCAATGATCTGCTGAAATTATAGTGTTTATTCTTACAATATGACATAGCATGCTTTGAGAATATTTGTTTGTTGTTTTCTTTTTTGCAATGTCGAGAAATACATTGTACTATTTGATTGATTTTTTTTCAATCGCTTCCATTCCATATCTGGTGTAGTCGACATTTGAAGTTTGATTTCTCTTTATAATTACAAGGACAAAAAACAAAAAGAACACAACAAATTACTTTTCTATATGATAGGTCAACAAAAGTAATATGCACGGATATGTGAGAATGTAAGAGTACAAGTAGTAGATGACGTGAAAGCAAGAATGAGATTCAGAGTGCCGATTAAGATAATCTTTTCACCATCACATTCAGATCTTGCTTTGGTGATAGTGTATTCCTTTTATAAGATGAGTTTGTGCTTTTGAAAAAATGACAACTGTGACAAAAAAGAGTCATGACCAAAAAGAGATTAGGTTTCTTTATGTTCGTTAAAATAGTCGAATTCAACAAATATTTAAAAATGGTGATTATATGAAAACTTGTATGGCATATTATCTCCAATCGAAATTTCCATTGAAAAATGAGCAATAATTGTACGTTTTTGACTCTAATAATGATTCTATGATACTATGATTTGGTGATCAAGTTGTAGCTGATATAAACAGACGATCACATGATTAAAATGGATATTCGCATCCTTATTTTTTTTCATATCAAAATACAAACGAAGTCTAATGAGCAAAGCCATGATAATCTGGGAGATAAACAGCATTTATTACCATAAATATTTTGGTTGGTGAAGATAGGCACTCGAGAAATACAGGATGCAACTTTATAGGATTATTCAATATTATTTTGTTAGTTGATAATCCATCCAATTCAAAGATATATACGACGAGAAATAGTTGGATCGGTGAACTTCCAGCGAGCTTCGAAANTTTTGATCTATTTATATTTCTAATACAATTGTGTGTCATTACTAAGTTAGATGAGAAGAAGAGAAGTATACTACTTCAAAGTTGGTCACCATTCGATTAAACTCAACGAGCTCTGCTTAATGGTGTATGTTACATTATGATCAATAGAACTGTTGATACTTTCAGAGTTTTACAAACTCTATAATGAGCTTCTGATAAAATGTCACAGCTCATGACTTGTTCTGTACTGTACGCCACTTGTGAAAAATCTGTATTTGATTCAATTCGACAAACTCTTTCCCATGATTTATGTTTCATTGTTATAAAAGAACCTGCTTAAGATGATAAATGATGCAGAATTCTGGATTGAAGATTTGGTGCAAGCTCTCTTTTTATAGGTAGATCCACAGATGTGTAGCATTTCTTGAACTTAGTCTATCTAACTTATCTCTATAAATTCTATCAATTGCTGTCTTTCATTCTAAATGGTAGCTCTATTGAGACACTGCAATGTATCAAACCGTTGGATTAAGTCGCTAACGGAGTATTTGAAATCAATGTATGTTAAATTTTTTATTGTTGGCCAAACATTATAAAGATTTTTTATGACGAAGATACATGAAGTACTTCTTTTTATCACATTTTTTTATTTTATCTTCAATTTCTCTTTGAGAAACCTTGCAAAACTCGTGTAGAACATCAAAGATCCTTGATTAGGAAAACGTTTTGAAATTATACTAAAGACATCGATAGACTCTCAATTTCGGAAACATTCGCTAAAAGGTATCATGATCGTAATGCTAACAGTTATTTTCTTCTTTTGTGAGGATTTGTTCAATAGTTGTTTAGGCAAACCAAAATTTAGTCGCTAATGGAAACAAATGAAAAAAAAAGATCGCAATATGTCAATGATTCTAGTACTGTTACTGAAAAGAAAAGCTTCTAAGAAGAAAAAAAGGGATGGATCGATGAATAGTTACACAAGTGTACGATTTCTGAATAAGCTATAGGAACATCTGAAGTACATCGTGGCTATGTAATCATTTTTTTGAAATTTTTTTATGCAAGTTACATTTATCAAGAAATATCTTGTCAGAAATGCTTATTACTTTACACCGGTAACATTAGTTATGAGAAATAATATGAAATTATGTGTTCATAGTGATGTTGTGAAATAAAATGTAATCGATCATCATAATATTTCACACTTTGGGCAAAGTTTAGATTTGCGAAGAGTTTCGGTTTCACATTTAATTTTTATTCGATCGAATGTCGGGCTTGCCGTGGAATCAACAGCAGTTGGTAATGATGGCTTAACTAAAGATTCACGTGAGTCAGAAGAGACTGTGATAGTAATAAGTTGTTCATCATTCAATTTGGCAATATTGCTTTCCATTAACTTCACATATTCATGATCAGCTCCATACTCCGCTCGATAAATTGAAAGACTTTTATTGAAATAAAAAAGTGCTTTTGATGTTTCATTTGTTTTTTGATAACAGTGAGCAATTAATCTACAGACATCGGCAACATTCGAATGATTAGACAACAAAAATGTATGATACATGTTTAAGGCTTGGAGGAGATACTTTAACGCAATACGGAATGATTTATGCATTCCATAAAGACTACCCATAGCTGCGAAACATTCAGCCATTGTTCGATGATCAATCTGAGTTGATTTTTCAAGATAAGAAAGGGCTTCTTGATAATATTTAACTGCTTCGCTTAGACTTTTTTCTTCGATTATTGTAGCCATATTCATCAATGTTTTAGCAATACGAGAATGATTATTACCAGGAATAGTTTTTTGAAGATCAAGTTTCTGACGACAAAATTCTAGAGCTTCATTGTCCTTCTTGCACTTCTTATATATGATGATGAGTTTGTTTAGATCTCTAGAAAGATGAGGATGATCAGGTGGTAAACAGCGTTCGTCCATGTCAAATTCTTTATGATAATAATCGAGCGCTTTTTCAAAATCATTCTTCTTCTCATAAACTGATCCAATATCACCGAGACAAGTACTAATTTTAGGATGTTGTTCGGGCAAAATATGTTGAAGCATATAAAGTGCACGAGACAAGTAATTGAGAGCAGTATCTAAATCGACTTTCTCTGTCAATGTGTTGCCAATATTTTGAATAATAACTGCTTTTTGTAGATGATCATCTGGATGATTTTCTTCTTCAATCGTTAATGCTTCTTGGTACTTATCGAGCGCTAGATCGAACTCTCCCTTTTCCTTCATCATATTTGCAACATTATGAAGTGAACTAGCTATGTGAGAATGATTTGAAGGTAATTGTTCTAGACGCATCTTGTAGGCTTTTTCATAATTAGCTAATGCTAAATCTAGTTCATTTCTTTCAGAATGTACACGTCCAATTCCATTATATATAGATGGAATATCTGGATGATCTGGTGGAAGAGATCTAAGTAACATTTGAAAATATTTTTCCGCTTGATTAACTTGACCCAGTTCGTTGAGAAGTAGCCAACCGAAACAAATGATGGATGAACTCTCGTCTATTTGCTCCTTAATAGATATGAGATACGGTTCAACATTGTCAGCACCTTCTTCAGTTGCTTTCAATTGTATTTTCCAAAATTGACAAGTTGAATCAAAATCGACGGAAACAATTTTGAAAAGAGAATTGAGATTGAAAATAATTTCTTGTTCATTTTCAAAATGGGTTCTATCACTAATATCAACCCAAATGACTTTTTCAAGCGACGAATCAACTTCAATTTCCAAAATAATTGATCGCATATCATCTGATTCGGTACTTAAACGAGCAAAGACAAGCGAAGTCTCTATGTTACGTGAAGTTGAAAAGAAGCTATTGATTGATATGATAGTACCAATATTATTTTTCCATCTGTCTAACTCTTCGACTGATATCTGCTGCCCACGAAATGTTGTGAAAACACCGTTGTTTTTCAATTTGAAATGCTCTTGTTCAATCTCAGTACACATATCGATGATAAAGAATCGAAATGCATAGATTAATTCGATGTCTTCCGTACGAAGAGCTCTGTTTAATAATTTATAAAGAAAGCATTCTTTTGTGTACCATTCGATTGCTTTCTTCGGGCAATAATTGTTCCGAAAATGTTTGATCATGTTTAACTCATTTTCATTATTGTGATAATATTCTATACATTTGTCAAGCATATCTTTTTTAGATTGTTCATCTTGAGGCATCTGTTTGAGGATATACAGAATCATCTGATGCCACAAAAAAGATGCCGATTCTTTAGACAAATCTCGTGATGTTTTTTGTTGCTGATTAAATAAAGTAAAATTTATTGTTTGTTTGTCTAGAACACGCATTGTTTGACGAATAGATTCCAAAAGACTATCTTGATCAGTAAATACTTCGATAATTTTTTTATAGTCATTTTTCAATGACACATGACATTGACGATCAGCACAGAAAATGAAAATAGCGACCATTGATCGCAAGTGATGAATTTCTGGAAGAACACTTCGACTCAACGAGCCCGAGACAATCAACAGCACTTGTTCGTCATTGATCCACCTGATTACATCGATACATTGATTAGTATTGGTGAAAAATTGAGCAAATGGATTCAACCCTAATAAAATTATTTGTGTTTTTATTGAATCATCAGAATCATTAATATTTTCATCGAGCCATATCAATCGAAATTCTTCTTTATTTTCATTCAATTCATTAGGAAGACAGTTTCGAATATACTTAGTCATCTAAAAGTAAACGAGTCTCATGCTTTTTTTCTCGATCTCTTGCATATGATAAGCATTATTAAAAAAAGAAGAAATAGTTGTCAAGCAGATTGTTTTTGTTGAAACCCTCTAATCTTATGTCGTTTCTTTTTTAGTAACTACAACGTGTTTACGACACAGCTACGTCGGAATTCGATCGTAATTGTAAACATGGGATAGTCATAAGTTTCAATCATTTATGTATTTATTTTTTACATATTGCTGAATCAACATAAGCATCGACATTCAAACTAAGTATCGAGGTGGAAACTTTTCATAGTAAAAAGAATAATAGATATGAGATTAAAAAAATATTTTCTTTCCTTACTTCTTTTTTCTTCGTCAGCTTTTTTTTTACTATTGATCACATAGAAAGAAAAATAGTATTCAAACGCATCGAAAAATAAATAAGTATTTTTGACGTCCTTGAGAGTAGCAGTCTTCATTTTTTTATTACTTTGTACAGCAAGTAGTTCAGAGAGTAGAACATATTTTTCTACTGTCATAATTAAGATATAATGGGTGTTGAAAAAGTTCTCGGACAAATTTTCTTGCATTTTTCATCTGCAAAGAAAGTTTTTAGAAAAATAAACAAAAAAACCTGTTCATGATCTGCATTGAGAGAGCTTTCTAACTTTATGTGTTAGAAATTTCTTTTTTGATCATGTGTTATCTTTGAGTAACAATTAAATATTTCAATAATAGTAAAATTTAGTCCGTAAACATAGTTCAACATGGTTGCTACTGTAAAAGAAACCATTTTTTCAATAATTTTCGATATTCTTCTATTCATTTTGTTGAATATTGTTGATCCTACATAAGTTCGAGCAAAAAAAAATTGTGAAATTCATCTAGATGACATCGTGAAAACATGAAAAAGAAAAGATTTACTAACTGTCGGAAAATTCAAATATGAAAATGATGATGGTTCGATGCAAGTTTTTCGAGATTTGAGTTTCATTATTGCATTGCAATATAATAAATGTGTCGAAATCTACAGATTGTCAACAAATAGTAAGAATAACTGCTAACATCGCGAAAGTGAACCAAACATGAAAGAATACAAAATTAGTATTTACCTGAATAATGGTAAGAGTTGTGTCTGTAAGTTTTTACAATGTTATCTAAAACAATGCCATAATATTTTCTGTACACTTTTGAATTGTTTTCCTTCACACTTGTATCCACATCTACATACTGTTGTACATTATGATTCACTATTAATAGGCTATAGTAGTTCCGTTCTACAACATTGTGAGAATCTCCACAGTTAGACATGATGCAGTAATCGTAGCTTCAATTATTTAATAGTGATAAATACCATTTTCAAGGAGCTTTCGGTTAATATAATATTTGTTGTTCATGCTTTTTAAGATCATAGCGCCACTCCCTGGAAAAATACATGGTATTCCACTAGTATATGATCCTCTGCCAATGTTGTCGAAAAATATTTCTGCTATTGTAAAAAGCTCATGTCAGTTACTTTAAAAATTGAAGACATATTTTCTGAGAACATTCATAGAGAGTCTTATAATTTTGTAATACTCGGTATTATTTTTTTCTTATGAGCCACATAAGAGTTTCTTATTTTTTCAAAATCATTTCTGGGAAAAAACACAGTAAGCTCTCAGCTTCTTTTTGTTTTTTGCATTCTGTTTTTTCGTTGCTAACAATGACGCCGCGTGAGCTGTTGAAAAAAACTCACAATTTGTTTACTTGTCATGATTTTTAAATACACAAAAAGGCACAAGTTTTATAATAATTCACAAGAAAAATTTTATTAATGCCACTCTTTCACAGCAACGAATCTAAAGATATTTGGTTTCGGGATCATTTGTACATGTGGTCTTCACCGTTACATCAACATCATGGAATCGTTTTGTTTGTTAACAGTGAAGATTTTGACGAATCAAAAATTTTAGAGTTTAACACGTGGGACGGAAGTCACAAACCTTTTCGTGCTGTTGTTCAAAAAATTTCACTTAAACATTTTTTCTAAAAAACTGCACATTGAAACGTGTCGTGTATGGTTCCAGATATGCTCGTTTTAAATTAGCCGGTACTGCTTATAAATTTCAATCACTTAAATCTGAATTCGTGGTTGATAATGCTCAGCATATTCTCGAGCAAGTTGAATTTGGAGAATGTCTTATCGTTCCAACACATTTAACATTATCGGCATCATTCATCTCCAACTATGATCTGATTTTACGCAATTGTGAATGTTTAGCTTTCTAGTGCAAGACAGGAATGGGGTATAGTGAACAAATAGAGAAAGTTGTCGATTGAACTGCCACACCATTGATGACTTTTCTCAAAGACATCGTCGATTACTTCATTACAAAACAGACTTTATCTGCCCTTGGTCAAGAAGCAATGAGTGAAGTGATTGAAAAATCGCTATGCATTCTCAAAAATAAATTTTGTTCAGCACTCATAACGGACGGTATTGGCAATGCGATCGCTTTTGTTATTGTTGAATCATTCAAATTTGGATTTCACTATATGCAATATAAAGACGGACAGATGAAAGAGAAAGAATTTTTGAACAAAACAATTACGAGTCTAGTATAAGTTTTTAATAGCGGTCTCATTGCATTTGCTACCCAAGCATTTATGACTTATTTTACATTTGGTTGCGCAGCTCTATGTCCTTGGATTGGTGGATTTATGGGTAGTGTTATTGGATCTTTTGTTGGAAATATCCTTAATCGCTTCATAATCAATGGAATCGCGCAAGTGCAGGATAAACAGCTACGATTCATTGATTAAAAATTGGAAATTTTTTTTAGTTAGATGCATATATTCTTATACGTAATGAAAAATTTGTAATAAATACATATAGAATATATATATAATTATATATATCAAATTCTCATTTTAGCAGTGTATTTATAACTAGATGAAAGAAATTTAATTGCTGATTTTTGATGTTAGCAGCGTATCTTTGATTTAGTTGGGCAACCGTCATAAGGATCAATGTTTTACTCATTTTTTGGATCCATTAGTAGATTATGTTTGAATGTTTACTCCGATTCTAATAAAATGCTTAGTCTAATTTAACATATATGCATTTTTTTATATTGCAAATAATTGAGTCATTAGCCAGATAAATACATGATAAGTGAGGGCGTCCAACATGACAAGTTTAAAATGTTTACATTACCTGTTAGATGTTGTCTGAAACATTTTTCATATGCGTAAGGGTCGACTGTCTTTTCGAGGGAAGTCCTTCGACTACGTCTCTGTTAACCCTAAAAGTGCTTATTTTTCATTCAGACTAGTCAGTAGTATAGAGAAGCGAGAAAAAAATTAGACAAAAGATGGATTCGAACATTTGATCTGACAATATTCGACACTTGACGAGAATTCTGATGGCAAACAACAATCTAACAACAAACTGACTTCAGTTACGACTGCCAAAATATCAGAGTGGTGCTTGTTCATTGGATATGTAATGGAAACAAACGGCATAAAAGTGACTTGACTACTCTGTATTGTCTTCAAGTCTAAATTAGCCTAATATTTAAATATACTATTTTATATGGATTTACTTTGTCAGACAACACATTTAGATTGACCCGTACATGAACGGAAAAGCAATCGAATCTCATGTAAGAACTTTTTGAGCATCTGTACTGTTGTTTACAAAAAGGTGATGGGAAATCAGAAGTCTTTAAAATGTGAATCGGATAATAGATTAACAACTGTTTTGCTATTATTTTAATATTAGTATGAATTGACGTTAAGGAAACAAATCACAATTGAGGCTTCAACATTGCGCAGGATCTTGAGACTCAAATCTGATCAAAACCAATACTCAAAACCACACAATATCATACGAATACTCGATCTTCTAGTCGTGATTGATAGTTATATGGAGTCGAACACGGCACGACTACGAAAACTACTATTGGCTTTTAAATATTTATTTATATGCACGTACACTTATTGATACTGTTGTTGTTTTTTTTCTAGCTAAAATAACAATAAGAAATGTCGTTTAAAATTTAGGATGGTGTCAAGGGTTGACAGCAAATTGAACGCATGCATGTTTTTACATATTTGATTATATTCTATGTAAAACTTTGTAATTTGTCTACTTCATATCAGAATGTATATCGAGTACTTGTTAGAAAACAAAAGATTTCTGCTTTTTTTTATACTAATAGTATAATATTATATTGAAGTCCAAAGAAGTTCATGCAAATACAAAGTATGCCAATTAATACTTCTCATCTAATATCTTTATGTGATAATTTCATTTTAGTTTAAATATGAAGTCTGGTGATTTAATATAAAAAATATGTAAATTACATTATTTCAGTTTATGTATAAATTTAAATTGTGATAATAAATCTATATTCTATGATGCAAATTTTTTATTCATGCCAAAGTTTGAAAGACTTTCAATAAAATTATTGTGATTAGCATATTAGAAGCAGTTCCTTTTTCGATTTGAAATCGATTTTGAACGGATATCAGAGTGATACAACATGCTTAGTCTTTTTGAAAACAGAATGACAATTGTCAGGTAAGCGACCAAGATTCTAGCTGTGGACTAAACCTAATTTCAGACTAGTCATTTACTAGAACTTATCAACAACAAGACTAGACAAAATGTGCCGCCACGACTATTCTTTCTATCTGTCCAGTCCTTATCTGAGATACATGTTTTATGTCAGATATTGGATATATTTTTTTTTTTTAGATCTTTTGCTTTTTATATTGACACTGATGTCATGAGCCTTTAGATAATTATTTGAGTTTGTAGTCAGTAGTGATCCATTAGTTCCCAAAGAGCATAGACTCAGATACAGATCAGAAAATAGCGAAAGAATTTGAGTTTTGTCCTGCTGAAGTATTGTGCGAATTTATGTTTGTTTTTCAAGTAGATTTTTGTTGTAAGTAAAGTGAGTGTACAGTATCGATTCTGCATGAAGAAACTTTACAATAATAAAAATGAAGTCAAAATTCGATTTGTGTTTTCTTTGTATAGAATGGCAGAAAGAAATTTTAAGAGCAAAGAGCTTTTGGTAATTTTGAAAATAACAAACAAATGAATGACTAACTCATTTCATCCAAAGTGAAAACACTACTCATCGATACAAATGCTATCGTGCTTTGTGTTTATTCAATATGCCTACTAGTTTCAATTTTATTTTGTCTCTTCCGATGGCAACCGTATGAACGAAAATATAGAGCGTCGCTGTTTTGACTACAAATAAGAATAAGAAGACAGGTTTTTTTAATAAGGAAAATAGTTCATGAAATTTTGAATAAGCAAAATTTGTCAAACAAAATAATATGATAGAATGATTATTATTTAGTTTAAAGCCATTTGTCGTTTGTTTATTTTCGTCAAAGGCATCACTCAAGATTAAGAGGCCAGTGACAGAGAAGCATTGATTTGTATTTCTATGATTTATCGCTAATAGCGCATAGATAAACGTACAGAGTAGCCTAACACTAACGAAAGATCTTAGCAGCAACCATCAAGTTTTAACTAGCAGGAATAAGACAAAATGAAAGTAATAAAAATATGTAAAACTATTGCCTTTTTCGGATACTACGCATATGGATGCAGATCAAACATGTTACATATTTACATCTAATCATGTCTATATTATATAGGAAGTCATAGACGACATCTCATTGGCATACTTCATTCAACAGAAACGATCAAGGTCTTCTTCATTTCGATGATGATTGGCTTCCTCATGGTAGTTCAAATCAATGGATATCCAATGCCAAAGACCAATAAAGTATGTAGATCATTATTTCAAGTACTAGATAAGAATATATGATTTTCAATTAAGGATCCACAAAATACACTAAGCAAACCATACGAGAACTGTATGCTTCAAATGATTATTTATCTTTTTCCGTGTTTTGTAACAAATATTTTTCTGCATAGTACAGTGCAAGTTACCTAATATTAATAGTAAAAATCATAAAAACAATTAATAGAAACTACTCATTCCAGTAACATGGAATAATTGTGTTTCATATCTGCGTCGAATCGATATCGTTCACAAGACAACGAAATAGATGTGTAAATATTTGAATTTGGATTGAAGAATAAGAATATATAGATGTGATCATTTAAGAAATTTGGCACCGTTTACAAAAATTGATAAAATCGATTAGGATACTCAAAATCATTTACGATAGATTGTAATAGAAATTATTCAAGTCAAATGAAATAGTTGCATTTTAGGTAATTTTTTTAGATTTCAGACAACAACAATACAGTTCTGACAATACAAATTTTAATCCTAACCTAGAAAATTATCTTAGACTCTTTTATTGAGCTCTTATTTGTGGTAGTTCTAGAGCGTGAATCATTTTAGAAAGAAACGAGCAAGTCAACTCAGAAGAAAAGTCAACATACAGTCATTCAATGAAGCTTTATGAATGTATACAATTAATTCCCTTTCCAAATATGCAAAGCTCTTCAAAGTCTACGAACGAGTCCACCACTAACATGAAGACTGTTATTCATCAGCATATGTATAGCATGTTGGAAAAAGCATGAAATTGTTTTTTATTAGTGCTTTACAATGGCGCAGATGTTGACATTGAGCTCGAGTATAAGAGCCTAGAGTATAACTAAGGATCGGAGTTACAGTCTTAGCTGGATCAAAGAGTGTTCTTAGTAAGAGTGATCAGTTTTGATTAGTATTCACTCTTACACGCACACTTAGCGTCATAATATTCGATTGAATATTTTATTTTCATTTTACTTTTCCATCTGTTTCAGAGTGGAAGTCTTAGAGTCGAAGGTTATACAATTTGAACAGGACTTACACACAGATTTCTTTTGAGTTACAGGAAGAAAATTGGAAGACTAAGAATTTCTTTTCGATTGTTATACGTGAGATAGACGAAATGAATCGAATAATTTTGAAAAAAAATTATTTCATTTTTGTTCATTACCATTTACTCTTACTTTGTAGCTAATCTATATGAAGATGATATTTTGCTTCCTGGTTCATTAAATCCGATGGCCGTAAGTTCAACATGATTTTTTGTATTTCATTTAAAGAAAATTCATCTGATTATTTTGTTTTGAAACAAAATCCAGCGAGGTGTAGCACGTCGTGGTTCTTCAGTTCCTTGGCCAAGTGGTATTGTTCCATATGAAAGTGCACCAGGATACGGTAAATTTCTTATCATTTGCAGAAATACTCATTTAAGAACTTTTTCTATAAAATGTTTTAATTTTCAAGACCTTTTTTTTCTAAATTACTACATGAAAATATTATTTTTTTAATACAGCGTCCATGCAAGAAACATTTATTATTGAAACAATGCAAAAAATGGAACGTTATATAGCAATTAATAATGTACGTTGTATACAATTTCGACCGAAAGTATCATCTGATGTGTATTATATTACAATCACCAATGGATATGGTTGTTCATCTTATATAAGTTACATATGCATATAAGTACGTTAGTTATATAAAATTATTGGCAAAATATTTTAGGCTGGACAGAATGCAGGCATTAGTATGATTCGTACAGTAAATTTACAACACCCAGGCTGTTTATAGGAGGGAATAGTCATGCATGAATTATTGCATGTATTAGGTAATTATTCTATATTTGTCTTCAAGATTTAGGTGTGGATGTTGTTGAAAAGAAGATCCAGAATCAAACACAGCTACATTCTCAAGTGATATGGAAGTTCCGACTCTTTATTATGGGTGATAATAAATCTCGATAAAAATACAAGATCGAATAAGTGCCTCTATGCTATTGATCGAAAATAATGACTGTTTTTATGAGATTTTTCGATTAATCAACAGATATTTTCCAAAAAAAAACAAAAGTCTACAGTTTTAACTTAAAATTTTCTCGAGAATTTATCTTACTATTAAGAGACTTTCATCGTATTTTTCATCAAAAAAATGTGTCGCTCTCGAAATGTTTAATCCAGAAATTAATTCTATAATTGAGGTATCTCTGCCAGATTTGAATCTTTTTTCGTACAAAGCCACTAAATCAAAAAATAATAGATCATTTTTTTGTCGAAAAGATCTAAAGAATTTCTAGAGATATTAGATCTATTTCTAATGAAAGATTCAGCTACAAAAATCATTTCACCTATTTTTGCTGAAAATACCTTCGTAGTGATTTTTAAACAATGAGTCATGAGAAATATTCCTTTTTGAGACTATCTTAGCCTCATCAAGACATATTTTCCTCGACAATAAGAAATCGGAATTTCCAAAGCAATCGGTCACACGCTATTATAATATGCATTTTTTTTTCTATAACTAGGCTTCTATCATGAACAGTCATGGCTGGATCGTGATAGTTACGTCGCAATCAATTTTCAAAATATACAATTAGGTAGAATTATTTTTTCTTATGATAAAATTATTGATGTAAAGGTGATAAAAATGAATGACTGTTTCTTATATTTTTGTACAGGTTTGAACCATAATTTTGCAAAGTATAACAGCTCAGAAGTGGACATTCAAAGTACATCATATGATTATGGGTCGGTGATGCATTATGAATCAACTGCTTTTTCTTCTAATGGGCTTCCAACCATCGTGCCAATACAGCCAAATACTACTATTGGACAACGTGATAATTTAAGTTCCATTGAAATTCAAGAAGTTCGTTTATTTTACAACTGTACAGCAAGTGGATTGACATTATCCACTATAATTACCACTACAACAGGTGACTAGATTGCATCTATGATATATTCTCGATTAGATAGATGCTGATCGTGATCCATAGTTAAGTTAAGTGTATCAGAGACGAAGTTAATCTAGTGTTTGAAAGATTATTATTGACATGTATGTTTATATTGGAAAATATCATTATAAATTATTCGACACAATTTCGCCTTAGACTAATTTCATTTATTTTACATATCGAACGTGGCCTTGTCACTAGAAAAATCTAATTAGCGTGGCTAAGTTTCAAAAGATAACTAATGATTAATATTGCTCTCAGGTAAAAAATACAAACTTTTTTATTAAATACAACTTGAAAGGAATATTGAAGTATACAAGGTAGAAACTTCAACCTCCTCCTTCACAGTAAACACTAAGCAAATGTCAGAAGAAAAGAGTTTTTAATAACAAGTAAATATGCATTTTGTAGCGCACTCAGCACGCTTTTATAGGAGATATTATTCAACGTTTTTGCACGTTATGTGCCTGAGAAAATGAGAGTTCAAAAACATTCTTTGTTGCCTGGCTATTCACTGTGACCACCCCCTCCCTCTTCGCAGACCGTATCAGACACTAGAGAAACTCGTCACAGGACGTACAAGACGTTGCTGATATGCGATCAAAGATCGTATATCAATAACGTCCCGTTCTAATGCATGAACTACTTCGTTCTTGGATTTCTGGATGATTAAATAAAAAGATGCTGAAGATATATGTCTCAAAATAGATAGAATAAATCAATCTCTCTTGTGAGTAGTAACTGCACCTGCATGATGTTTCACATTTCAATCCCACAGGGATTGGGTTAACTGCTTTTAATATTGAAATGCTCGTTATAAATCTAGATATTTAAAATTGTAAACAGTAATTGTTTTTTTTTATAAAAGATGGCATGAGTAAAAGTGAAAAATTGCGGATAAAAATTCTTCTTTTTACAGAATTAAGAATGCGTTCATCACTGATATTACTATAGTACACAATTACTGAAAGAATATCGACTGTTGTACATGAACAACCTTTTTCAGTTATAATCATAATCTCATAAATGTATGAAAAATGTTCGTCGAACATTAAAGCGTAAAAAAAAACCTTCTATCAACCAGTCATAATTGAGAATATGAAGAATTTGATATTCTTATTTTCTTCTCTTTGCAATAGTTCGTGTATACACGGCTAATGCAACTGCTTCATCAACGTGGACAACAAATAGTCCAAGTTTCTCTCGCTATGGTACATCATATTCGAGCTATTATTATGATACGTATCAAGTCACCGTCCCAGTGGATAGTTCTTACAACTTTATGAGCATCAGTAGAGCTAACACATACGGCTATTTGTACAACGGCAGTTTTCGTTCGTCTTCAACGTCTTCAAATTTACTTACGTTTGACGATGATAGTGGCGGAAATAGACAATTTCGATTCACATTTTCTCTTCAACGTAATTTGACGTACATTTTTGTACCAACAACCTACTCAATGTATACAACTGGAGCATATACAGTGGTGGTATCTGGACCAGAATTAGCTATCCTTGTTCGAACAAGTACCACAGGTGGAGCAAACACATCTAGTGAGTATACACTAAAACAATACGATCCGTTACCAAATCTATGTTTCGTGAAAATAGAAAAACCTGGAGGGATTTTAAAATATACACAAATTGAGCAAGTTCGAATAAATTTTGCCTAAAACTTTTCTATAACTTGGTGTGCTCCTTAAGCAAAATTGTTTTTTGATCTTTGTTCAGCCACAGAATTTTTCGTTGATCGACTTGTGTCTGTCGAAGTCAGTTTTATTTTTCTGGGCGATAGAATAGAATTTAGGTTTTCACAATTCTCTTCGAAGACGAGTATATAGAAGTATAAAGTGAGAGAATTAAATCAGTTCCCTTACATCGATTTTACAAACTGTAACGAAAATCTAGACATGTTACCTATTTGTATTCCTTAACAGAATGTGTTACTCATTATCGAAAGCTTCTCCTTAGGCTAGCGATAAACTGTGATATTCACGGATCTGGTTCTTATTTATGAATTAAACTTGTCAACTGTGTTTAAAATTTTAAGTCTACAGAAATCGCGTTGAGAAAAATTGCATTAGAATTATGTTTTATTATGAAGTTCGAAGAAAATGATAATTCAATTCAACATTTTTTACGTACTTTCTTTCAGTTCCTACATAAATAAACACTGATTTCAGCAACTATACCTGTCGTACTGCTGTGATAATAATCATTATCACAAAATTCCTGTTCTTTTTGCTCACATGAGTTTCATTCTTTTATTCGTATGTTTAGTTTTGTAAATCTGCAATTATTCTTCCAATAAACAATTCGAGAAAATTATTATCAATTCCTAATTAGCCAGTTAGTTCTCGAGCTGATCAGATAGATAACTGGATGCAACATTGCATACGCTTACTTATTTGAGCTTCTTCCCACATGATTACTAACCGTACAATAGGAATCGCAAACTGTTTTACGCATCACTTATGGCCTATTTCATAAAAATTGTAAGTCAAAAGACAAGAATTTTCTCTATGAAATGGATCCTTATGAAGTCAAGATTATATGAAATAGTTTTCTGAAGAATTTCTAATAAAATATCTATCGAAAACTCTTTCCACTCCATAACTAGTGACCAACCAAATTTCATCCAGTTTCATGTCTCTAACATTGTTTTTTCGAAAAATGAAACCCACAAATTCACTGTTGGTTTTACTCAAGGGTAAAAATAAGTTAGTTTTCATTTTATTGCACAGAACTGAAACTCATAGTGTTTTATATTTTAATATAGTAAAAATTGCACAAAAAAAGTCTTGTGTTTCTCTGCTTCGTATGATAAAAGGTTCTTGCCGATCAATATCAACATTCGCATTTAAATATAATGCATTATTTTAAATTATTACAGGATCTACAACAGCCAATGCCAATTTTTATTTGATATTCATCGTTGGTCAAATGATGATCTTGTATTTTATTGATCTACTCAAGTCATGATGCATCGTTAACACTTATGGAAAATATTCTTTTTTCCTTTCGTACTATTGGCTTGCATTAATGTTGAAGACTGCTTGGTTGATCATACACAGCGATATATACAAGCATTTCATTTCTTCATTTCCTCATTGTTGCATCTAAATACTGAACGATGTTCTACCTTTTTTTAAGATTTAACACGACGTTCCTGCTTTATGTTACTGATTTAAGATATGATATTTTGATTTCGCAATAAACGATGTGCGTGTGTAACATGTACAATGATTGAAAATCTCATAAAATTTATCCTACCTAGAGCAACGAATGCGAGATTCATATACACTTTAAAACGGATGTATAGGTTGCAGGTATATACTATGTCTGTGTCTTCTCTTAACCCAAACCTACACCCTCATCAATCTCATATTGGTGTTAACTATGTACAAGTACAAATATCTTTGTATGCATTTTTTTTTTATTGTAAGCAGATAATTTTTGGTTGGTGTGAAGTACGTCAACACAACACCCCACTAATTACTTTTTATTTTGTTTTGGAAACCAAAATGACTGTCATTCAAGATATATCTTAATTATAACAAATATAGCATATATCGAAGGTAAGTTGATTGGGTATTTATTTTTAAGAGATTGGTGTAGGTGTCAACCAGAAAAAGATCCACAATCTACACCGCGACATCTATTGAAATTGTTCTATATTCTCTCTTTTTTTTCGTCCTCCTCTCTTGTATATAAGCCTGTGTTCGAGATGATGTAGGTAACAACTGGAGTGATAAAGAAGTGTAACGAACATTATTACTGAGTGTAGCGTTATATCTATCCCTTCAGTTTGTCATTGTTGATCACCATAAAATACACACTGCAGTGGTTACCAATATATCATCTCACTTATTTTTATTACAGAGCCCCATAAAATCAATTAAACGAAAAAAAGTCATTTTTCGTCGGAAAAATCAAACTTGAGATAAATACTTGGGAACATTGCTTAATATTTGAATTTTCATAAACAATGCGTTTTTCACTTAGCACCTCGTTTTTTTATCAGAATTATTGATGATTTCTGTCTTATGTTTCTTAGCAATTAGCAACTTTTCAGAAAACATGGAAATTCTTTTTTGTTTTTTCTCTACTTATCCTTTTCTTTATCGTACATTCCAGAACTCTTGCAAAGGCTTCATTGCAACCAATGGCTTTTTTTTTGTTTAACTCTTAAATAAAATAAGATCATATCTATAGTAAGAATATACTTTGAACAGAACAGTAAAAAAGCGTGATTGTTATAGTGTTAAAATAAATCGCAGAGCTCTACAAAGTCAAATATGAATTATGCCGTTTGAAAAATTTTGGGTATGAAGTGTTTCAAATTTTGCGAAGGTATCACGATGTGACTGATGATCCGCTGTTGTCGATGACAGACCGAACACTCCGTACTCTTTCGATACTCGTCGTAACTGCCGATTCATCTAAGTTCATATTTGTATAGATAATCATTAGTGCAGTTAATCACTACTCACTTCGACTTCTAGCTGATTCGCAACGCTGAAGAATATTGTTGGCGTCTGTACCGAGAGCATAGAATAGACATCCCTGATCGATTCGTCGGCTAGGTGGCAATGGATTATTGAAATTTCCATTATTCGTAAAAATCTGCCAATCGGTCAATCGTTGTGCGGAGCTTCTCACCCAGTTATTGGCCATTATCGAGCTCTGTAAAAAACAAACGTTGCAAACAATCGTATGCTGTTCTGTTTTGTATTTTCGTCCTATTTGTCGTTCTTTTTGCTACTCTCTCTTGATAATTGCATTTGAAAAGTTGTACTCACATGTTGAAAAGAATCTTTTGTTGAGCAAAAACAACAAAAACAACATCTACAGTTCACTAAATCTCATATGCATAATCGATGCCATGCCTATCAACAAAGTTACCCAAAAGAAAATTGTTGATGAAGTCGCTCGATTTTTAGTGTTGCTTAAGGTAGTTGAGAATGACGTTTCTGTCATTTAAGAAAAAGATAATTTCATGCTAGTTCACTTGATAGTCAACCAACAGTCAAGTGAAAAGCGTGACTATTTCACAAACTAGATTTCTAACATCCACTATTTTCTTTTATGATACAAATAGTGGAATATTCGTACAAGATGATGATTTACAGTAATGCTTCGCATAGCAACAATGCTTGTACGAGCCACCAATTGTTTTTCGTACGGACTTGAAAGAAAAAATTCATGCTTGCATTACTGGCAAAGAAAGATCAGTTAGAAATAAATTCAACACCGAAAATCAACACTTTGGTAATTGCACATAGAAAAAAAGACAAAGAAACAGAAACAGTCTTCGACGCATGATGAAAGGACAAAAATTTTTTAGAATGGAAATCTATACATGGATGACACTCAATAAAGTATAACACGTGAGATATGCACACATATGAGTGGAATGTTAAAGAAAATGACAAGAATCTATGGCAATTACCAATGATAGCTGATGGAGGCTGTGTAGAATTGTAGTTAGCGTCAATCTTTGCATCCAGCAATGAAAATCGGATCTACATGTATCAGTAAACTCGGCGTAGATTCGAGATTTTGTCAATAATTGTTCCGACTAGTTTTTTCAATGGATGATGCAGTTCTAACGTTTTTCATTTCTTTAGAAACAAAAGAAAATGGTCACGCAGAAGTAGTTTCAACGATACGTTAAGTAAATTTATCGAGTTTCTCTTTATTACCAATGAATGGATCGTCTGATCATTCTGATGCTGAAATTTGAATATGATTTGATGCAAATGAAATGATTGTGGATTGATTGAATAATCCATGAAGCTTTCTACTAGATTGTTGTTAGCTATCCTTTTGGTTTGCTGAATGAGACATGCAAGCTTCGGTCATGTGATCGTTCACTACCACGTCGCACTCACTGCGGACCCAGTTTAAACTAAGATAAGATAAAGAAATGTGATAAGAGGCATCCAAAATGGTTTTTACAGACCAGTCTTGAAAATAGAGTTTTGCGATGAGCTTTTTTGATAGAAAATTTCGAATTGATTTATGTTTTACTTCAACGTTGACTGATGATGCTCGATTATTGAATAGATTCGCTCGTGCAACGCCATTCGATTAATGAGTGTGACGATACTGTAATAATTCGACTAAGTTGGAATTCGTCTCATATTGCAGTCGTTTTACATGACGACTATGGATATAAAGATTCATCTAGAATGACTAAGAATCTGAATTTCACCCCCCGATTTCTTAAATATTATCGATCAAACGATCGAGTGTGAAAGCATGAGTAGATAAAGGTATGGTTTTCTCGTCACTTATACCCACACTTGTTCTGACTGTTATCGCAGTTGTCCTTAAAAAGAACCGTTCGAAAGAAACGGATTTTTTCTTGTCGTACAAAAATAGTTGTTCTCGAGAAGTTTCATTGGCTTCATATAATCCAAAGATTGAGCAGATCTTTTCCCAACTAAATATGAACCTAGCAGCTCTTTAGTTAAATTAGCTCAAGTCAGCTATGGTTTCTGGTCATAGTTTATAGATCAAGATCATTATAGTGGACTAACTTAATGCCTATGTCGTAAACGCGCTTATACTCAATTGGTTCATACTATTGGCTCTCGATGTTAGATATAAACATAACAAAGATCGAAGTTATTGACTCAACTCCCAGGATGGTAACTCTTCAATTTAC